GTTATATTCGTAATTTTATACAAAAATTTTAATTCCAATTCAATCATTCGTTGAGTCAAATATTTTTTCGATAAAATGAATCGACAAATATTATAACAACTTGTACTTCCAATTTCGAAGGTATTTCGAGTTTGTTTGTTCCTATTCCAGTGCCCGTTTTTTAAATCCCCTTGGTGTCAATATATTATCCAAACAAATACGCTGTGATCGGAACCGGTATGTAAAGTAAACAGCCACAGAACAACGAAATCAATATTTTCATCATAGAATGTTGTTTTCCCTTAGTCTATTTGTATTCTCACATTCCTTGTGTTGGAAAGATGCCTTTTACTATTTTTAGGAACCACACCATCAAATAGATAATGTCCTTATGATTTAATTTAATATACATTTGTCAAAAAGGATAGCGCGTAATCAACTTATTGCACAATATAGTATTGTTGTTCGTATAAGAACGAAGTATTACTGAAAAATTCTAAANGTCAAATGCTAGGACACGACTGAGCGCTGGGCACCAAATCAGGCTCCGAAGTGTCTTCACCAAAGTCGCTCTATAAGCCAGTCTAGGTGGTCTGTGTGTACACCCATTACCTATTAGCATTAGTGTTACCCGATAATTACCTGAAACGAAATATTACCACGCCCACAGCCGGTTCTTATCTCGGGGTTTTATTACTCTCTTTCATTTCCAAACAGACTATAGAACGGTTCATAAACTAATCCACTGAATGTCAATTTCCTAATAAAAAGTTAGTATTAAGTACAACAACGACACCATCGATGACAATATGACTAAAATTATTATCAAATTTATAGAGGGTTCCCGGAAAGGTCGCCTTCAAAGAAAGAAGTTTGAAAAACAAATTCCAATTATAACTTCGTCGTTATCATGACAACAATGAAATTTGGACAATTAAAATAATTCATGGTAATATTAATTTCCAAGTTTAAACTGATATTCAATATGCCTGGATTATACAGGAGCAGACGAAATTATCCATTTAAATTTATACATTTTTGACAGCGTTGCCGAATTTGGCATTTTTCATTTATAGTTCGATTCCTCTCTCACTTTGCTTTAAGAAAGGTATATCGTATATCATTCGATATCTTGTACCGTTTTTGAGAAAATCGAATTTTATTAACAACATACATATATTGTATCAAAAATGCGATATTTACATTTTTGTAAAAATCTTGGTTTCTATGGAAATTGAGATGACTGCTAAGAAGTATGTATAAGTAGCAGTTAGATATTTAATTGTTATAAATCATTTTGACACCATTTGTAGATTCAATGAGGATTTTTATCGTTGAAGAATTTGCAGATATTCATCTAATGTACGAATTTGCAGAATGTAATGCTTCTGAAGCGAAGTGACAAAAAATCCCATGCTATTACTCAGACAAAGCACTAATAAAAATTTATCATTAATGTATGGATGGGAATAATTGGAAACTACTTAGCGGGACATAAACATATTGTTGTTCTTGGTCTTTTAGTTGGCGTGTATTATTTAACAATTAAACTCGATTTTACTAAAAGTAACTTTACTAGATGCAACTATTTCTGTACATACAACCACAGATACTCTAGAAGAGAGGATTACCAAAAACAGCACCTTGCTTCTTCTTCTTCTTGACTACCAACATAAAATACATATGTGCTTTGGCACTGATAGCGCCATCTTTCCTCAAACAGAGGAATCTAATATTATTATTACAGAATTGGAATCAGAGTTTTCTACATGAANTATTACTGAAAAATTCTAAAGAGTTTTTACCAAACCTTGTTTTTTTGTTGTCGTTTTGTATTATCCTCCGTCATAAATTATGTCAAATGTATTATACGTTTTAACTATGTAATTTTTAAATTTTATCTATTATTAACTGTGGAATGTACTGTGATTAGTATTAGTATTAGTAGTAATACCTGTAATATTTATAGTTTTTGGAGTAATTCTCTATTTTCATGTTTCATTAAAAAAATAATGACATATAACATCACTAATTATATGTCAGTCATGAGTTCTGTCACGAATGAATGAAATTCGTAAAATAATTTATTTAAACCAGTGGCGGCTCGTGACTTCCATACAAAGTATTGAAAATAAAATCAAATATAATTGGGTAGTTTTATTTTAAGTACTATTGAAATATAGGGAAAATATGTTCAACATTCTGCTTTTGTTCAAAGTAAACTTTTCAGTAACTCTTTCATTAAAATTTGGCATTTCTCGCACCATTGATTTTTCAATAGTAGCATTCCAAGTGCTACAATCAATTTAAAATTTTACAATTTTTTAAAAAATACTCAAGAGACAATTATGTACCTAAGTAACAAAATACATATCTGAACAAATTACGTTTAGTAACAAAAAACGGGTGAATAGCTATTACCGTATTTGGTTACCGTCGGATAGAGCCCAAATTGCATGGTAAATATGCGATACTCCCAATCCGTCTTTCACTGCTGCGCGACAATAACCATAACCACCGCTGTAAACACTTTGCAGATGTAGAGGTAAGCTACGAGGAGCCCACGAGGAGTTTTGCAAACGAATTTTGCATTACAAACCAACCGTCACTGGTTGAAACTATTTGCATATTTTCCAGAATGTCCCTGATTTTGTTTCGTATAAGAATTGCAATTTCGTTGTAACATAAACCAGCCTTTAGAAGCCTCATAATTTCTATGGTCAAATATTGTGCATATTCGATTAGTGCTTTTAATTTTCAGTTGAATTTCTAAGAAAAAAGGATTCTCCAATTTTTTTTGAAGAATTAGCCTGTTTAAAGTTATGATATATTTTTAATTTTATACTCAGTTTATCTCACAGTTAAGTAAATTGAAAATAATTGAAATTGATAAATAAATATTCGGTCTTGAAAAAAAAGCCTAGGAATATTGTGTTAGAAATACAATTTTGAAGACATACCCATTAAAAAATCATTGGCGGAGAAATTTTGATTATTTTCGTAGTTCCATAGAACATTAGAAATATCTACGCCACTGACTCTTTGAGCATTTGACAGAAGGCTGTATTTAAAACCGTATTTCTAACAAAAGATTTTCATAAATATGTATTATTTTGTATAACAGGTTTAGAATTCTTTTAGATTTATTCTGTGTGTTAGGTTTATTTTTTAATAGTAACAAAAAGGCCCGTTCTTTGAACTGATTGTAAATTATCTTATTAGTAATAGAATTTTCAGACGACTTAGTTGCTCCTACATTCTGGGGTTCTAGTAGTAGGTACTGTCACTGATTGTATCTCCGTAGTAGCGTCTCTTTCACTCGTTGATATTCTATCAAGTAAATTTATATTTCTGCTAAATAAATCTATAGTCCAAGATTCATCAGTTTGTACCAAATGTTCTCAAAGATATATGAGGAAATGTATTTTTTTTCTCATTTTAGCAATTTGAATGTCGAAAAACGAAATAAATATAAAATAATTGGTGAAGTTTTCCTATTAAAACCTGTGTATATTGAAAAAAGATATTTGTATATAACCACATAATCTATGAGCGAAAATAAATTTTTCTTATATTCTTCTTTGAGACGCATGTTTTTCAAGATACAGACAGCTAGTTACAATAATTTAGAAAAATTACATTTTTTAATTTTTATTTTTGATAAGCTGTATCTTGAAATTGCGGAGCTTAAATGAAGAATGGCACAAGAACTATTGTTTTTGCTGAAATACTCTGTGATTAACGGTTTGATCTACTTTGTTTTGTAACACATTGTATAATTGATATCTAGATTAAGGCGACAGATAATATGATATTTAACTACATAAATCTCAAACATTTTCAAAAATGATATTAGAGAAAACGTTTCATCAGTCTCCCACATAAAAAATATGTGCAATGCGCAAAATAAAATTTCTAAATTTTTGTTCGACACTTTTGACTTTCCGAAACTAAAATTATGGCTGAAATTAACTTCTAATGAAGCTAAATGGAAAAATCTATTGACCATAAACCATGTGAAAATTCGGATTATCTAAAATATTCATCCATTCACTAAAACCATTAACTATCTGGCGAAATATTCCATTCTCTAAGTATTACCATATTTTTTAATAGGATTGTTGAAACTAAAATGTTCTAAGATCTAAATCCATTCTTTAGACGAACGGTAAGATTAGTATCTAATTAAACTATTTTAGGTCATATTATATAACACAAGTCTGGTAACCAACTGGTTGCAACGTCGTCACCTTAAGCTTCTTGATGTATCGAGAAATATATCCTACTCTTCATTATATGAAGTGTAAAACGATGAGATTAATTAGTCCGGGAATTGTTTGACCACAAAAACCTACAGAATAACTTAAAACAGCATATACAGGGTGTTAATGAAATTATGTCAAATATTTTTGCCACATATCCGTTATGTCAAAATGAGGTAAATACACAGATTTGTGTTGAGTAAAATGTAATTTTAAAATCTTACCTCAACATTGCAAGGAGTCACCTTTTGAGAACTGCTGATTTTCTTAGAAGATGTTCGAACTCACCATTCGCTTGCACACAAGCTTCAGCGCGACATACCTATCCAATTCGCTCGCACGCGTTGCAACATAGCCACGTCCTCTCGAATCGTATTACTAGCTTCGGCAATACGATGTCGCAGTTGGCCGATGTCACGAACTTCCGTGGAATACACAGCACTTTTCAAATATCACCAAAAAGAAAGATGCTGCGGCCTATCCAGCCTTCGAGAACACATTTTTAATTAGCTTTTTTCTCTATGACCTTAAACTTCCGATACAAGTTTGTGACATCAGTTAACTCAGTTTTTGCTCCTTTTTCACCCCTTTAAATTTTTAACATAAGTTCATTAACACCCTGTATAAAGTGTAGATTATATTTTTTGTATTGTAGTTTCCGTTCATTTTATCAGTGGTATTATCAAAATATCTCTTCTATTGCAGATGAACTTTAAGAAATTGCGGTTAATTCACTATACTCACTAAATGTATTTTCAGATTCGGGGTGCAATGAAGAGCCAAACTATACTTCCCATGCCTCAAGGGATGTCAGAGGTCTTTATTGCTACTCAGTCCTTTTATGCGTCACGTGGTGAGACGGTTAACTTAACCTTAAAGACATCATACGAAAACGCAGTAATGAAATGGTCAACTATCAGTAATGAAGTGTTGAAGCAGTCCTCTCTGATAGCTTTTGCTAATGGAGCTAATCCAACACCTAGAAACGAAATCGAATTTTGGAACGCTAGGAACAAAAATTTGGAGTCTATTTATGATCAGCTCCTAGATCCCCGGGTCAGGAAAATGGGAGAATATCTGGAAATCACAAACAGTGCGTACAATACTACTTACAAAAATATGTTCAAGAACATAGTGGCAGATCTGTTTGAGGCTAGAGATATTTGTATGTATTTGAAGACCATTTTACCTCACATATCTCGATTCGAAGACAATGAATTTTTGGAAACTGAAAATTACATCAAGCCGTTGGTTCACTGCATCGGGTTATTATGGGCCAATTCGAAATATTATTCATCAAGTGACAAGATAGTTATTTTACTAAAAATGATATCTAATATGTTAATTGAATCAGCTGAGAGGTCTCTAGATCCCAGCAATATTTTTCAAGGGGATCCGGAGGAAGTCCATGCGAAATTGGAACTAAGTATAAAACTAATTAACATGTTCATGGGGTCTTTTGAGTATGTAAGAGAAAATCTGTCGTCGTACTATCAAACGCCACAGGAGGGCGAAGAAGAGGTAGTGCAGAAGCCTTGGACTTTCCACAGGAAGAATGTCTTCCAAAGACTGATGGATTTTGCTGAAAGATTAAGTTTGGTCAAAGAAATACTGTCAACATTGATAGAGTTTAGCAAACTGGAAAAAGTTGAATTAGGGGGCATTAAAGGTCGAAATTTGTCTCAGAAGTGTGTACAAATATTTGAGGAGTTCAATAAAGCTTATAATGTATTTAACAACATACAATATGAAATCTTAGATACGACGGATCCTAGCATAATTAAAGATGCGTCCATCTTCAACGAAAAATGCGCTGATTTCGATAGAAGACTAGCAGCAGTGTTTGCGCAAGCCTACGATGATTGCTATAATTTGGAAAGCATTTTTAAGTTTATAAACGTACTTGGAACTTTAATAAATAGGCCTGCTATAAGCAACGAAGTGACAATCAAGTATCATCAAATTATTGATAACTTCAATTCCGAATTGGATATAGTAAAAGAACTCTATGACGACGGTAAAAAAAATGGGGTGCCTTTGGACAAGTATTATCCAAAAGTTGCTGGCGAGTTATTGTGGCTGTATAAATTAAGGACAAGAATTTCTAAGCCTGCAGAGGACATGAAGATTTTAGAGAACGAAATTGTGAAATCCGAGGACGCGGAAAATGTTTTCATGAAAATTGAACAAATGGTTGGTATTTTAGATGAAGAACAAAATAGAATTTTAAACACATGGTGTAACTACGCTCCTGAACAAATAAAGGAAAGTATGAGTAAATTTCAATTGGTTCGGATAGAAGGCGGGGCACTGCTTCAACTTAATTTTGATGAAGAACTTAAAGCCATACTCAGGGAAATGAGGTACCTGACATTGATGGAAATACAGGATATTCCAGTAGAAGCGTTAGAATTATATACAAAATCTGAAGATTTAAAAGCTGCGTTGACCAAATTTAACCGAGTCGTTGAATGGTACAATTACTTGAAAAGGTACACAACTCAGTTCGAATTTGCTTTAATTGAGGAAGAAATGAAAGAAGTCGATGAGATGCTCAACCAAGTAACTGAAACGTATACTTGGAACACTAACGGTAAGTAAATAAACGATTTTATTTAGGGTGTAACAGCGACGTTGCGCCAAACATTCAAGTTTCAATGCTGATTTCTCCCGTCAATACATGCGAACAAGATGTAAGAGCCGGAATGTTTCCAAAAATGATTTCTAAGGGTTGTATGATCCTTCAAAGATCGAACATGAAACAGAGTTTTCGATCAATACCCTACTTCAAAAAGGTTGAAGATATCGGCTTCAAATTTACCTCATAGTAGCTGTAAAAAAACATGACCAATAACTAAGCAGTGATGTCAACAGAAGTGATTTGGTTTTGGTTTTAATTGCCAAAAAAGTTATTTATCATTATGTTAAACGGAAGCATCTTTTATAAATTAGGATATAATTATTTCCAAATAAAATTTTTGTTTCGTAGAATGAATTACCTAAGATAAAATGTCTAGAAAGAGAAGAAAAAAAAAGAGATAAAAGAACAAAACTAGAATCATTTGAGTTGAGATTATTTTTACGTCAAATATATTATTTTAATGATTGGAGCTCCTCAATCCTCTAATTCTGACATGACTGAGAAATTTAAGGATTCATTCAAAACTGTTTCACTTCCAATTCTTGTAAGAAACAATGTTACTCTTGTCTTTTTTTATTTGTCGCTTTTTGTTCTGACAAAAGGAATCAGCATTGAAGGTTTGTCGCAACCTCACCACCAGACTGTACAAGTTAAACTGAAGCAAAAACCTCGGCATAAATATAACTTTTGTTTAAAGTTCCAAACTAAAAGTATCTGCCTAATCCGATTTTACAAATATTATGAATGATAAATGAGTAATATAGTATTGCTAAATATGCTAAATTAAATAATGGTGTTTCCCACAAATACAGGGTATTTTAGAAATAAGTGTCAAAATTTTAAGCACATATTTACTCATTTACACCCCTACCCCTATTCACCTACATTGCTATAGGTGGTTTGAGAATGCTTCAAAATTCATTTTAATAATTTTATTGACAATAATTAAATGTTATTTGCTTTTCAAACCAAAACTTGGCCAAACAAGTTATAGATATAGATAGTTATAACTTCAATTCAACAAATTTTGTCTATTCGTAATACCCCTTAAATTTTTGTATAGAGACAAAAATATCCCTTAAATAGGGAAAAAGTTATGAATACTCGTACAATAACATTACAGAAAGGAATATGAATGGGTACTTTGCAACTATCGTGCTCTCATTTAGTATTGCCAAGGGCTCCCCAGAAGGGATTGATTCTACACGAAATATTCTAGCTGACAAGCTCTTGAGAACGCAATGGAGACATGATGGAGGTTGAATGTAGTCAAAGAACAAACCTCCTAGTGGAGGAAGATGTGCGAGAGTATTTTTTTTTGTTTTTAATGCGCAATAGTCGCAGTGTACTGAACAGAGCAGCCCTCAAGTGCTTTGCCCGTACCTGTCTAAGGGGTAGAAACCATCCCCAAATTCACAAGAAGTATTCGAAAAACTTTTAAGACCGGAAATATGCACTCTGGAGTTTTTCCATCTGAGGGAAGGGATATCTGCCAACGGTATTGAGTTTGCACAGCAAGACCAACCCTTAAAGCAGATTAAGAACACCCCTCGATGAGGGGGATCGCCTAGCCGGGTGTCTTGGCCGATAGATTTCGATCCGCCGAGGTAAGCATCACGGACGCAGGCTGGAACTTGGATTGGCGACCTAAGGCAGGCTCGGGACGTGGCTGTGGTAGCCTACCAGCGATCTGGATCGCTCAACACCTTCCGCCTGCGTGTGGTCCCCGATAAAATGGTAATGAGAATAGAGCAATAAATCTGTAACTCAAGGCCATGCTATCATACATAAAAAACTGTACGAGACTTTGCCACCAAGCCACCCGTGTAGTCATAGGATGGTTTGAAGAAAAGTACTCGAGTAATGAAGGAGGGTGTACAAGGGGCCTAATAAGGACTAAGTGCCGCGGTGGAAAAGCAATTTTCCACCACCCCCCGACATACATACATACCCCTGGATGAGTGGGAAACAGGAAGGCGGAAAAGGATGTGGGAAAATTAATTTTTTTTCAGAGCGGAATTTATCAAACTATCATACACCTTTTGTTATCCCTTCTCCAACCCTCGAACTGCTCCGCCTTGTCTGCCTTAAACTTTTACCCGACCTCTGCGTTCTATAGTTTAATTGAACACAAATTTTTTCTAACAGACACCTTCAAAATTCAACGTAAGAAATAGCTACAAATAGCTAACAAAATAGACAACCATAGTGTAACGTAAGAAGAACAAAATAGGTAGTTTCCACCCCTTAGATTGGTACGAGCAAAGGAGTTGAGGGCTGCTGCGACAGCTCTGCTCAGTGCACTGCGACCATTGTGCAGTAGAAACAAGAAAAAAATGAGTTGCCAAATCCTCCTCCACCCCGTCCAAGGGGGTAGTTTTCAGCCCTCTAGGGGGTTGGTTCTTAGTCTGTGTTCACCCTTCACCATGTCTCCTAAGCATTCTCAAGAGCTTGTAAGCTAGAATCTTTCATGATGCAGATCAGTGTCCGGAAGAGTATAGAAGTAGAAGGCGCACCAACCCCTTCGGGGGAATCCCCTGGCAATAATAGATGAAAGCACGAGGGCTGCAAAGTGCCCATTGATACTCCTTTTCGTAATGATATTGATATTCATAGCTCTACCCAACGAATTGTAACCACTAGAAGGAGCTCTGGATGTATTTGTTTGCGAATGTACATAAACAAATCAGATCTTTAGGAGACGCAAATTTCTATTGGTCGAATAAATATTCCCGCCTACGTCCGCATTTCGATGATTGTCAATGACATCTGTCAAAGGAAAAGTGTGCAGCCGCTATTAACATATTTGAGTTTATTTGGGTTTAGTGTGGCATTTTCCACTTATTGTTGTGTAGTTTTTATGTATGGACATTTATTTAGTGCTAAGACATGGTTAGAAAGTGTGTTATTTGTAAAGTTTTATTTAAAAATGGCGAGCAGCGGTCTTTTCACAGGTAAGTAAACAAGCAACATGGGCGGCGTTTGAGGAATTACATAAGGGTGTTTTACATTTAATACTTAATTAGCAATGATAAAATACTGACTAAATCATTATCTGAATTATTAAAAAGATATATTTTTTAATTGTTCAACTTATGTATAAGTATGTTATGAGTAATATCTGTACTTTTTAGATTTCCTAAGAACCTGGAACGGAGAAACTTGTGGAAGCTCTCCCTAGGTGATGTCAATATTACCGACAACATTTTTGTTTGTTCTTATCATTTTGCGATTAATGATATTCTGACAAAGCCATCAGGTATAAAGTACTTACGAGAGACAGCTATTCCAGTAATAGCTTCTACTTATAGCAGGTAGAATAACTTTTATATTGATTAAAATATACAAGTAAAAAGCCTTTACAGTTATCTAGTTCCTCTTTACTTTTTTATTTAATTTTTATAGATCAGACAGTTCTAATAAGGAAAATATTTCTCGGCACTTCCCGCAACAAAAAAACAGAAAATATATCCACATGTTCATCGTCATCGACACTGAGTGCTCAATCAGGCTTGTTATCTATTACAAATAAGGCTAGAGATCTTTCTGAAATGTATTTGAAATTTGGTGACACATCACCAAAACATAGATCAACTTTAACTGCATCAGAAATAGGAATGGATTCACCCAATCGTAATCAAATTATAAACGTGAAGTAAGTTATAAAAATATAATTAACAAATTATATATCCTTGGTATAGTATCTACAACTAATACCCTATAATTTTGCTATCTGCTTACCTATCTAACATTTTTTTATTCCGTACATTTTAAAAAATACCAAGAAAATTCTACCTATTATTTTATATAAACACTACCGTAAGTGTGTATATAAAATACATCTGGAATAGATAGTTCATCATTTTTAGGAAAAGGCCTTATTCACGATATTTTGGAGAATGCCATACTTCTAACATGGATAGTCCAAAAAGAGCAAGAAAAAAATTGGAGTATTTGTAAGAAAAAAATAAAAATGCAAACAATAAAAATCCGAAGTCTGCAGCAGGCAAAGAGTCGTCTAAAAGCCAGAATTTGTAGCCTTAATTCTCTTCTGAAATTTTTGAAAAAGAAATATGACTTAACAGAAACTGCTCAATGTATCATTCATGTAAGTTGAAAAATACTTATTCTTTCTGTGTTTGTAAACAATATTTTTAGGAATCAGCACCTGGAATGTTAGGTGAAATCTGTCAAAGATCAAGAAAATGACAATCTCGTAAAAAGTATTCACCTGAGATTAGGTCGTTTGCCTTAACGTTAAGCTTTTATTCAACAGATGCTTATAATTATGCAAGAATAAGTTTTAACATGGCTTTGTCATATACAAAAACAATTTCTAAGCGGTACAGATCTATAGATGGAACACCTGGATTTGCATATGAAGCATTGGCTGCTGTTAACGATTCACTGGATATGTTGATGTCGGCACTGAAGTATATGGGGATAATATTCCAGAAGCTACGGAAGCCCTTGTTTTTATGGTTGTAGCTATAAATAGTCATTGGAAAATACCTTTTGGGTACTTCTTGACAAACGGTTTAAGTGGTGGAGAAAAAGTTAATTTTTTAAAAAAATGTTTAGAATTTCTAAGTGAATTAGGTATCAAAATAGTTTCTGTTACTTTTGATGGTGCCTCTTCAAATATCAAATTACGGCTTTATCATAAATGTTAATGTATGTAGGTAAATTGTGTGTGTTTTCTAGTAAAAATTAGAAAAATAAACCAAACATTTGTCTTTTTATGATTTCTATAAGTCACTAGTGGGTTTTATAAGTCATAACTTACTAGTGACTTATGACTTATAACTCACTAGTAATTTATAGGCCACATTATTCCTTTAAAACCAAAGGAATTATAGTATCATTATATACAAGTGTTGGATAAAAGCATTTAATTAATCAGTACTGATGTCAAAACAATTTGAGTATAGTAAAAACAGTTTATTAATTTTTACCGTCTCATTATATCACCAATATGTAAAAATTATTTATAAAATGAGTAATCCTTTCAAATGTGTATTGGTATTTTGTAAATTCTAATATTTTGCCTCTTTTGACAGTACGCCACTGCCGTTGGGTCTCATTGTTTACATTTGACACTATCTATCTTTATTTATTAGGTAGTTCTCTGTTTAGATGTTTGCTACATTTAAAACACATGTATAAGAATACACAAAGCTCCTTCTAGTGGTTAGAATTCATTGGCTTTATCCCTATTTAAGGGATGTTTTTAGCTCTACACAAAAATTTAAGGGATATATGAATTTTCTCGACCACGGATTCGGATTCAGCGTCGAAAAATATATAGGAATACCATGATCAGTNAGTACTGATGTCAAAACAATTTGAGTATAGTAAAAACAGTTTATTAATTTTACTTCAATTTTTACCGTCTCATTATATCACCAATATGTAAAAATTATTTATAAAATGAGTAATCCTTTCAAATGTGTATTGGTATTTTGTAAATTCTAATATTTTGCCTCTTTTGACAGTACGCCACTGCCGTTGGGTCTCATTGTTTACATTTGACACTGTCTATCTTTATTTATTAGGTAGTTCTCTGTTTAGATGTTTGCTACATTTAAAACACATGTATAAGAATACACAAAGCTCCTTCTAGTGGTTAGAATTCATTAGCTTTACCCCTATTTAAGGGATGTTTTTAGCTCTACACAAAAATTTAAGGGATATATGAATTTTTTTGACCACGGATTCGGATTCAGCGTCGAAAAATACATAGGAATACCATGATCAGTCATCCAGATCACGATTTTTTTTTGTGGAGCCGTGTTATCTAAATAACCAAATGTTTATAAGGTACTAAGGTACTAAGGTACTAAGGTTGCGCTTAGTAAAACATTAAAAATATTTATAACAAAAGAGTCGTGTGGTTCTTTAAAAAACTAACGGTAAATTATCTGTTCTGTAGATCCAGAAATTGTCGGAAATATTTTCGACAGAGTTAAACAAGTAACTGATAGGGTAAAGAAGGCACAAACAAACATAAAGAATCTCTACAGCACCATACATGTTTGGGCTTTACAGCCACTGTTTGAGAGAAAAGATGGCAAAAAGGAAAACCTTATATCTCTTGACGATAGACAGGAGAGGATTCAAAAAAGATATGATCTTATAACAGCCTGTTCGAACGAACTAAGAAGAATTATAGAGGAGAACTACCTCTTGTTTTTCAACGAACCAATGAAAAAATTACCGACAGAAGAGGAACTGGAAGCTGCAGCTGCTGCTGCTGCGGCTGCTGAAGCAGCAGCGGCAGAGGAAGCAGCTGCCCAACAGCAACTTAAAGGTGACAAGAAGGGGAGTAAAAAAGGAAAGAAAGAAGAGAAGGAGAAAGGTAAAAAAGGTAAAAAGAAAGAAGAAAAGGTTGTAGAAGAAATTGTAAAAGTCGAGGAGCCACCTCCACCACCAGAGGAAGAAGACACGACTGCAGCTCGAAATGCAGTATGGATTCCGTATGTAAAGAATCTTGATGATGAAATTAAGGAGATGGTAATGGTCGCCATTGACGTGAGTTTCTATTTATTTTTAAAAGAAACGGGAAATAGTCCACCAGTAACGCCTTTCTTCGAGTTGCTCTTGGAGCTTCACGAACCCGACGTAGTGTTCGTGCCTTCGGCTGACATAGAGGACCCTATTAATTTTCATACGTATGTTTCTGGCTTGCTGGACGACATTTTCAACATGGGAAACTATATGATAAGGGTAAATCCTGACGAAACAACAAGTTATAGTCAGATAGCTAAGGACGAAATGGATATTCGACTTAAACATGACGAGATTTGTACGCGTATTATGAATGCTATGGAAAAAGCGCTAGCTTTTACGAAAGAATTCGATGAATACATTATGCTCTGGGTGGAGGACAGGCAAGAGTTTTTGAGACAATTTTTGACGTACAGTAGATTGCTGACGCTTGAGGAAATGGAGCAGTTAAAAGATGAAAACGCTCCAGGTATAAAGGAGTCGCCACCAACGGTAAATCAGTTCAAGGAACAAATTGACTATTACGAAAACCTCTACAAGAAAGTCGAACAAATACCACCCGAGCGTATACTCATGGACGGTTGGCTAAGGGTGGACGTAAAACCTCTGCGTCAAGCCATACTTAATATTATTTGCAAGTGGGGGAATATGTTTAAGCAACATTTATACAATCGCGTAATTGACAGTTTGGAAGGATTGGAAAGTTTCATAAAAGAATCCATAGCAGCTATGCAGGTTCCTTTAGCGGAAGACGATTATGATGGCCTTCTGAAGGTTATGGGCTACTTATTTAAAGTGAAGGAAAGGCAAGTCGAAACTGATACGATGTTTGAACCTCTGAAAGAAATAATGGAACTGCTCAAAGATTATGGAGTAGAATTTCCCGAGGAAATATATGTCCAATTACAGGAAATACCAGACAGATGGGTTCAGTGCAAAAAGGTAATTTTATTACTTTAATGATAATTATACAGTGTGTTTTGATTTGCACATACATATAAAATTTTAAATGGCAATAGAATTCCAGAAAATAAAAAAAGTTCCTATAAATACAGGGTGGACCGAATTTTATGCAGGAAACTTCGTGGACAAATAGATTTCTTTAAAATAATAGGAGTTTGCCTTATAAACATAGGTCTGGAACGGCCTTGTTTTAGAGATACAGGGTGTTGAAGTTGTTAAAAAAAATTGATTTTTTATTTGTATCTCCGGAATCTATTAACCGATCCCAATAAAATTTGGTACAGATAATGTATGATAGTAGACCTTGTATTCCCTGAAATATGAGCCCTAAAGATTCAACCAGTGGTGTACAACTGGACAGGGGTCACCCCCTTTTTATGAAAAAAACCTACGCCATTGTATTTTTTACAAGATATTGTAACAGATTTAACTTAACTTGAATTTTTTCCCTAAGATTAACCATTTTCAAGTTCTCCATACCAATACAATCCCCTTGTGGTAAACACTTCAAACCATAATATTACAAGCATAATTATGTTTATGCTTAAAAGTAAGTGCAATTTGTAAGCACATCAACAAAATTCTTTCCATATCACCTATGAGGTAGTGTTCCTGATGTGTTTTAGTTTCCCCTGGAGGCCTAATCTTTACAAATGAGAACAATTTATCAAAATAATAAATAATAAAAATACATTTACCAAGCAACAACAACTAAACAAGAAACAAAATTAACGTTACGTATTTACAGCAATTGTTCAAAATGCGAACCATCCACATCCATACATTTCTGACATCTTCTATTAATGGAACTAATTGAAACTAATAACATGTGGTGGTTTTATTTTAATTCATTACACCTGTCTTCTATTCGCTACAGTAGTTGTAGTCTGGTATCTATTGGAGTAGTGTAAACATTACTATTCATATAGGTAACCCCAAACATAGAAATCCAGGGGGTTTAGATCTGGCAAGCTGGCTGGCCAAGACACTGGACCCTTTTCACCATTATGGTTGACATTGGCATCCATTTGTATCCAGCTATTTTGTCGTATATTTAATGGAACATCCTCTAATAATTCAAAGAGATGGTTTTCTAGAAAGTTTACAAATGACTGGGAATTTAAATGGGGTGACAAGAAGAAAGGTCCACATACTTTATTGCGAATTATTCCGAGCCATACTTTCACTGAAAATTCGTGTCGAAAAGATCTTGTCCGAATTCCATAAAGATTTTCTTGTAACCAAATATGCAAATTGTGAAAATTCACTACCCCTCGCCTTGTGAACGCAGCCTCATCAGTCCAAAGTATTTCTAGTTAGTAAGAATTCTAATAACCACTGAAATTCAGGCGTCTATCTGTATGCAGTACTTTTCAAATTTTCGATTTACTCACCCCAAGTTGGCAAGACGTTCTTCGTGAACTTAGCCGAGGATTGTCGTCAAATACTCTTAAAATTTCATTTCTGTGCCTTTCATTGCTCCATCGTGATTTTCCAAATATCGCTTTAATCCAAAAAGATGAAAGCGACTAGTGTAAAGAATTTTGTTGATATGCTTACAAATTGCACTTAGTTTTAAGGATAAACATAAATATTCTTAGAATATTATGATTAGAAGTGTCTGCTACAAGGGGATTGTTTTTGTACGAATAACTTAAGAACGGCGAACTTTAGGGAAAAAATTCAAGTTAACTTTTTTACGTATTTTGTGCAATAGAATATAAATCCGTTACAATAGCATGTAAAAAATACAGTGGCGTAAGTTTTTTTTTATAAAAAGGAGGGTGACCCCGTTTAGTTGTACACCAGTGGTTGAACCTTTAGAGCTCATATTTTAGGGAAAACAAGGCCTACTATCATACATTATCTGTACTAAATTTTATTGAAATCGGTTAATAGATTCCGGAAATAAACGCAAAAAATATTTTTTTTTAACAAATTCAACACCCTGTATCTCTAAAACGAGGCCGTTTCTTATGTTTATAAGGTAAACACTTACTATTTTAAAGAGATCTATCTGTCCTCGAAGTTTCCTGCAAAAAATTCGGACCACCCTGTATAGGTAAAATGCTTACCAAGATACAGTGTTCAAGGTTAAAAAAATATATTCCTTCAAATATCTTTATATTTACTTATTCACTAAATTGGTTTGCAAATAAGTAAATCAGTCACGGACGCAGTGGAATGTTTCGAGTTTTGATAGTGAATATTTACAGGGTGCATGTAACAAAAATATGGTTACAAACTTCACCAGTAGATGTAAAATTAGTAGGTGTACTTCATATAAAATTTTTGCCTAAGTGCTTCCTTGGTGAGGTTGTTTTTTTTTCAAAATGTAGGAAGGAATAATCTCAAATACACAAATACTATACTACATAACCTCAAACCTTTTTTCTTAAATATTTCTACACCACCGACTTAAAAAAAATAGATTAATTTCTATATTGCCTGTTCCCTTTAGAGCAAAAAGGGTAACATTTTCTTTCGGGCAAGTCTTCGTTCTCCAGTTATTTGATAGTACGATGTACCAGTTTTGCTTCAGAACATTTGAGTGAAGTTATACTTATTGCTCTAAAGAGAACAGACAATTTAGAAATTCACCTTACCCTTTGTTAAAGTCAGCAGCGTAGAAATATTTAAAAAGGGGTCTGGCTTCCCCATATTTCCGCACCTGGATTATACTCGTAATAATTGAAGGCTTCAGGTTATGAGGGGTATGTAGTGTAGTTTTCGTACCAAATTTGGGATTATTCCCTCCTACCGTTTTTAAAATATTAAAAAAATTTTTTTTTCAACTTTTCAATTTTATATAAAGTACCCCTACTAATTTTATATCTGCTGGCAAAGTTTGCAATCTTATTTTTGTTGTATCCCTGTATACCTATGTGGAAGAATTTTATCAACAATTAAAGTTGTAAATGTGTTCAGGACATTCTGTGACTACGTGTTGCAATCGATGCAAGCTGATGGTGAAGGAGAGCAACTTTTTCGAAAACATTTATACATACCTACATCCTACGTACTGACTTTTGAACGAATTTACATCCAAAGTAACCGTCGCATTAAGTAAAAACAATGGAACGTTCAATATGCCATTTTTTATTAAGGCACATCTATTTTTAGGTACAGAGTGTCGAAGGTACGTTTAAAAAAATATTGTTCTGCTCATATATGCGAAGATAAGGATTTTCTCACAGCTTAGTAGTTACGAAAATTACTTTTTATTTCAAGTCTAAAAGCCTTCTTAAGCTTAAAAATTCTATTTTCGTCTCTTACGACGAAAATACAAACATAAAATTTATGACTTTTTCTGACACAGTAAATTGAATTTCCATAAAACTTTTTACTAATTAACTTAATTATACGGTACGGTATTATAATGTCTAAAAAACTAAAATTTGCGGTATTAAATTTCGTTTGGAGTGATATGAAATAATGTTTCGTTCATCTTTTGTTTCACGCACTTTGGAAATCATGTCAATTAATAAACAAAATAGCGTTTAAAAAGTAAAAAAATTTTAGTTTTATTAAAAAATTGTTAATTTTAAAATAATTTTTGACTTGTTGATATATTTAGAAAATAATTACCTAAATAAGGCGAATAACTCTCTGCTTGTTGCACTGTACTGCTTTGTACCAAACGACATCCATCTTTAAGAAGAAAATTCTAACTCATGTTCCAAGGAGATACAGTATGTCGTAAACCAACCATCAAAATATTGCGAAAGAGAAAAAGAAAAGAAAAAATATATAAAAAGAATGAACATTTGATTTAAAAGATTATACGTTTATGGATAAATGTGCGCCAATAGAAATAGAGGAAGTTATTTTTTACGCTTCGGTTTTGTATTAAAGTTGTACAAAAAATATGTACCTATATGATAACCATTTGTGAAAATTTTGTTTTAATTGAGTCTTGAAAAAAGACAAGGAAGTTATTAACAAAAATCTTCTTTAAATTATATCTTCCACATTCTGTATCTTGAAAGATGTGCCTAAATGAAAAACCCAAAGATTAGGGAAAATAAATAATGCCTATAAAATTAACAATCTGACACAGCATAGAAAAAGTCAAATTCTGCGAAAGTATTTATTTATTCTAGAAATAAATACAAATTCAGTATAAAGTACAAAAAGTAAATTATTCTAAAATGCAAAATTTATATGCAAGTCTAATATGATAAAGTTGTCAATTTGTAGGTTTTTAAAAATGCTGAAGTATTCTTAAGGTAGTCTTAAGAACTGACCTTTGAAGTCTCTAAGACTGATACTAAGCGAACAACAACACATGATCAATAGTTCGTCTTTTGGCGTTAGCCCGTTGTTGGGAACTTCTAAAATTAATTATAAACGAAGTAAATATATTAGATTTAACACTAAGTTACAGAAAAGTTATACTTTTACATTTTTCTGAAAAATGCATATTGGCATGATGTCTTTTGCTGTTGCTGTAGTCTATTAAATACGAATTCTCACTCATAATTTCACATTGCCAAATAATAGAAAAAATAAGGGAAAAAAGTATTGATAATTGGAAATAATAAATAGAAAGTTTTAAAAATAACTTTGACACCCATGTTCTTCTCATTTTTCCGCTAGAAACTTTCGAATGCCGAATCTGAAACTATAGATGGCATCATCAAATAGCTTCCGATCTTTCCTCTCCCTAGTCCCTAATCTTTGCATTTAGTTATTTCGAAAGAAGTAAAACATTAATCTATTTTAGGTCTCTGCAACCACTAAACAAACCGTGGCTCCCCTCCAAGCCATGCAAGTCAACGCGATTAAGAGGCGGATCAATCTTTTCGAGATCCGACAGTCAATGTACCGGGACCAATTCAAGAAAATGCCGTTCTTCTTATGGAGCTGTCCCAACGTTTATAGCAAATTGGACAAGACCAACATGGAGATTTCGGAGTTAGAAACGGAGTTGGCCAAGTTGCAGGAACAATCGAACTTGTTCGAACTAGTTTTGCCCGACTTCAAACCGCTTAGGGCCGCTAGAAAAGAAATCAAGCAGATTAAGCAGCTCTGGGACTACGTCAACGTCGTGAGGTCTTGTATGGACGAATGGAAGACGACTCCGTGGAAGAAAATCGACGTTGAGAACATGGAGATGGAGTGTAAGAAATTCGGTAAGGAGATCCGTCAGATGGACAAGGAGCTGAAAGGTTGGGATGTGTACATTCAACTTGAGGCGTCGATAAAGAATATGCTGACTTCACTTAGAGCCGTTACGGAGCTGCAGAATCCTGCCATCAGAGAGCGTCATTGGACGCAGTTAATGCAGGCTACGAAGGTACACCATTTTAGTTTTTTAGACAGCTTACGGTATGAAAGCATCGAAGCTCTAGGAATTACATGACGAAAAAGGGAAAAGGTTTGCGGGGTTCTTGAATCCTGGCAGTTCTTGAGGTGCTCTTAAAAGATAACCGCCATTTTGTAAAAATGGTGGCAAAAGTTTTTCGGGAATATCTTATTTCTAATACATTCTATGGAAAATATTGGCATGTTAAATAAAAAACAAATTTACAATAACCTACTCGTATATCCCCTTCACTTTTTGTGCATTGAACAGTTTTCTAACACTGCAAATTTTGCTTTGTTACGTGTATTTAGGCTTATGTTTATTTCAATGTTTTTGAATCGTAGCTTTCTTCCAATAATTATTATTAATCATTAATCATGCAGTCTTTTAATTAAACAAACAGTAGATAAGGAATTTAACCGAAGAAATCTTTAAAAAAAAACAAGCTTTAATTTGAAGATACAGAACCGTTCTTCCTATTAATTTATCACTTATAATCACAATCACATTAACGAAACAAAAATAAAATAATCAGCTAAATAAAGGAACAGGAACTAAATATTTTCAGAATCAACATCAACATTAGGTATCTGCTTATAATAAAATTTCTACACAGACTTATAACAAGGTACATTAAAAAAATAAGAATCATCAAAACTAAAGCCTTGAAAACTTAAAATAAATAAATCATGAGCTAGTCGAGAAACCNAACTAAATATTTTCAGAATCAACATCAACATTAGGTATCTGCTTATAATAAAATTTCTACACAGACTTATAACAAGGTACATTAAAAAAATAAGAATCATCAAAATAAACTAAAGCCTTGAAAACTTAAAATAAATAAATCATAAGCTAGTCGATAAACCACTCTAACCGCTCAGTTATTTGTCGAGAAACGAATTGAACGCATGAACGAAACGAACTCTAGTCAAGAACTTAAGACGCGCGTGATTTTTAAATTTCTCGATTTCTCGACACTTTTTTCTCGTCTCGAGTAAGGCCAGATTTCCCGGGAATTCTCGCTTCGAGAAGTCTCTACCAGAAACCCTACGTGTATTGACGAATTACATTCAACATTACTAGATGAATAGATTGTTTAAAAAAAATCGTATCCAACGTGGGTTTAAAACCGACTTCAGATGATATTACCTGCCGTGTATTCGCCAAAGCCATTAATATTTACATTTGGGGATTTCCATCGTTTGTATAACACAATAGATTTTAAGCTAATAATGCTTCGTCTTTTGCTTCACTTACTGCCAAACAAAATCGTTTCCTTTCCTATTATCATATTAAATAAGTTTGTAAGACATTTGATCTACCTTAAATTATCACGTAACTATATTTTCTGTAAAGGTACCGAAAGCGAGATATTCCTGAAAAATTAATTTTGTACTGTAAAACTTTCCACCTGAAATTGTCTAATTCCTGGATTACAAAGTTAAATAAATATTTAACAAAAATTTCAGGTGTTTACATCAAAATTTACACATACTGGAACGTATACTTTTAAATACCGTAATTTTTTCTGTATCTTCCTTCTCATGTGCAAATCAAAAACAGTTTTTACCAGAATCAAAGTTTATTATTTTAGTATTTCCCATATTAAACTGTCATATTTTCTTTGACTAATGATGTTTACAACTTTAAATATTAATATAAACATCAAAATATTGAATTTCTTCAAGGTAAGTGAAAATCCTTTCTGTTTTGTACTGAGAGAGGAAAGCCTCTTCTATAGGCTTCTTAGTCGCTCGCAAAAAGGATAAAAGCAGTTTTCCAGTGGGTATAAATTTCGATGGATGTATATAGAATACATGTTTTCCTTGAATCTATAATAAGTATTGAATATATTTACAGATCAACAAAAAATTGCACTTTTTAAATATTATTAGACTGTTATTCACAATATTTTGTATTTTTTGATATAAGTACATATGATAATTAGATCAAGTTCAGAGGGGTTTGTGATTAATACTCAGAACTATACAGGGTATTAATCAAACTTAAAATTTTTATTCAGCTGGTTAAAATAAGAAAAAGAAGTTCTATAGAAGTTAGGATATGCTTTATTTTCGAGATAAAAAGTATTGAAAGAACAATGTTTCCATTTTTTCTAAAATATCTAAATGAATACATAAAAATGAATGCGTTTAATAATTTTTCTAAATAATGGTAAAAATAAAAAAAAAACTTATGTTAGTAACGGAGATACCGGATGTCACTAAAAACTCGGAATTTCTGTGCTTTTAATTCGTTTAAAAAGCACTTCTGTAAAGCTAAAGTAACTCTAGAACTATTAACTTAAAAAAAATATTTTTTTTGTAAAAATATAATTAAAATACCAAACAAAAATTTTTTGGACGCTCTGTATCTGAAGAACCAAGTCGTTGCGGATCCATGTCATATGAACTTTTTATCTTAAAATTAATCAAAGATTCACTCTTTAAAGTTAGTATAAGTACTTAATAATTTTACGTAAAATGCCTTTAGAGATATTATAGAAGGATTTTTTCACACTGTATCTCGAAAACGAAGCAAAAATTCCTTGACATCTTTTTTGTTTTAACGACCCAAAAATCATATTTAAAGTTATTTATTAATTTATTTATTAATTTGGAAATATCCTGCGTACTTCTACGAATTTAGTAAAAATGACTCTAATTGAAATGATCTTGATGGTTAATGAAATTGGCAGGTGTTTCAATTATAGATAATAATTATTTACAATTATATTTGTATACCTACATTTTTTCATAAATTACTTTGAGCATGTGCACGAAAATATATGAGAGATGTTTAAAATGTTATTTATTAATTTATAAATAATTTTAATAGTCGCGGAGAGTTAGCAAATGTCTACAAATTCATAAAACGACACGCGGGTGTCTGAAGTTTTTTATATCTCTCATATCTTTATATTTATTCTTATTCTATTTCATAACTTGCAAATGTATATAAAACTTTCACTACTTGCATTCAGGTGGACAAAAGACTGCCTCCGTATTATACAGTGAGTACCAAAATCGATGCGTGTGCATGAGGCTACCGCTAGGCTTAAACACATTTCGTACATCATAATTTTTAAATATTTCTTTCACCTCAGTACAACAATTTCATTGAATGATCTACAGCAATATTACCAAACTGCATGAGGCTTTTGTTCAAACAGTTTTTATTATAATTTAATGCAACTTTAATAAAAAAATATAACTTTCATTTCCTTTATTTTCCTCAACCTTTCCTCTTTCATCAGGTACGGTTTGTTATGAGCGATGACACGACCCTAAGCGATTTATTGGCTCTAAATCTTCACGAGTACGAAGAGGAAGTTAAGAACATAGTTGACAAAGCTGTGAAGGAGATGGCCATGGAGAAAGTATTAAAGGAACTCAATGCTACCTGGAGCGTCATGGAGTTTCAGACTGAGTACCATGAGAGGACCAAACTGAGACTGCTGGTAGTCACAGAAGAAGTTATAGAGACTCTTGAAGAAAACCAGGTGGCGCTTCAGAACATGATGACGTCGAAGTTCATAGATTTCTTTTTGGAGCAAGTGTCGGACTGGCAGCGTAAGTTGTCCAATGCTGATCAGGTGATACATGTCTTCTTCGATGTGCAGAGGAAATGGAGCTATTTGGAAAGCATCTTCATTGGATCAGAAGACATAAGAAATCAGCTACCTGAAGACTCCAAACGCTTTGACAAGTTGGATAAGGAGTTCAAAGACGTATTAAATGAGATGCTGAAAACGCCTAATATAGTCCAAGCAACTAACAAAGCCGGACTGTATGATAAACTGGATAACATACTCAGGGAGCTTACTTTATGTGAAAAGGCATTGAACGATTATCTGGATACGAAGAGGCTTGCCTTTCCCAGGTTTTATTTCGTCTCATCTGCGGATTTGTTGGACATATTATCTAATGGAAATCAACCTGATCTGATTCAGAGACATTTGACAAAATTATTCGATTCCCTGGCGAAGCTCATCTTTATTCAAGAGGGCGGTAAAAATACGAAAAAGGCTAAATCTATGATGTCTAAAGAGAATGGTGAGATCGTTCCTTTCTCTCATATTTGCGACTGCAGCGGAAAAGTTGAGATATGGCTGAATAGAGTGATTGATGTAAAGCGAGAGACTCTTCATCAACTTTTCGGTGAGGCTGTTATAACTTATGATGAGAAGCCGCGAGAAGTGTGGATTTACGATTTTCCGGCCCAAACGGCGCTTTGTGGTAAGTACCATCAGGATGAATACGTTATAAGTCACACAATAAAATATCACAAGGGAACTTCCAAAGAATAGTTGCTTCTATAGTTCTTTTCATATATTTTAAAGCAGTTTCAAAGAGACAAGTATTTAATAGTAGAATTAAGTATTTTTAATGCATGTCGTTGAACGGGAAATATAAGCTATATAAGTTGTAGTTCAAGATTGTTTACTTTTCCAACAATAGTTTCATGACCAGATACGGAATTCATTTACAGAAGGTTCTTAAGGCAATATAATTATTTTTCGCATTATTCATGGTAAATAACAAATATTTGCTTAGTAAGTAAGAACCATGTCCCATGATAATTTCTTTAGAATGCGATCAGTATTTGAGTAGCAGTAAATAGTTGACTTCATGTACATTTTAATAGCAGTAGTATCAGGAAGTACACCCAAAATTTCAGTAAAAACTAGTAGCACTACTTTTATCAGCTAAGCTCTAGTACCGTAAGTCTGAAGTTTAATTTTGACTTCTAGTCCAGGCGGTATCTATTTTAAAAAGAGTATACTTGGGTAAGACGCATATGATCGAAAATTTTTTATTTAACGGCTTCTAAATAACATCAGAAATGATAATTTTTCTTTACAAATAAAAAAAACAGCAAAAAATCATTTTTTTCTTGGATTTCTCGTCGACAACTTAGCAACTATTCATTTTAGACAAAAATGCAAGAGAATAAAAAGTTTTATAATTAAATTTTGAACAAGATAGATAGTTGCAATTCGAAAAAATAATTATTGTTATTGCAAAAATCGGAAAAATCATTTAAAAAATTGCAAAAAATGCTAGTTTATTTGTCAATTTTTTTCAGACACTTGAATAATACCTAGGATCTTCATACTTTTCCCAATTAAACTTCTTAGTGCATAGAATTATCACACCAAATTTCATCCAATTTGGTTCAATAGTTTTTACATAATAATTGTTTAAATTTTTTTAAATTAAAAAATTTTCAAAATCAAATTTCTAAAAATCTAAAGCCTTTGAATACTTGAAAATTTCACCACAAAAAGAAAAGCTCTCAAGCTTTAAAATGCTTTTTGAAAAATTCAAATCGGACGATTAGGTGAGCCGTGGTGATTGTTTAAACATTTTCGCACTTTTCACGCTTATAAACAGTTGCAATAATTTAATGTTTTTTTAATTTTTTTTTTAATTTTAAAATATGGTTTGAAAGTACTCGGAAAATTTACTTGCGAGACATCGATTTAAAAAAAAAATCATCGAGATAAGTGGTCTTGAATATCTTTGAGTGACATTTTAAATGGAACGCCCGTGATTGCAAATTTTGAAAATTTATATCTGGAAAGTACTAAAAATAACAAACCTATTAAATCAAAAAACAGCCCTTATACCCTTATAGTTTTGCTGTAAATAAGGGTTAACTTTAACGGGCTATAACTCCGAAAATAATGGGCGGATCATCAGGTATTTTCGTTTGAAAATACTCGTCTTTCATTTTTGTCTAAAACGTATAGTTGCTAAGTCGACGAGAAATTCAAGAAAAAAAGTGAATTTTTTTGCTATTTTATTATACTTTTTGCAATAACAATTAAGCCCACGTTTTTTTTATTTGCATAGACAAATTATAATTTCTAATGTTATTTAGAAGCCGTTAAAGCAAAAATCTCCTATCATATGCGTTTTTTCCATCCCGAAACAGATACCGCCTGGACTATTCTCAATTTAGGTATGCACCATAATGTTGGTATAATTTCGCTTTTAATTTTTATTATCATTTTTATTATAAATAAATTGAATACATTTCTCGTTTTAAACACGTTTGCCTATTCTTATTCATGATATATCCAAATACTTATTCCATTAGGATATATGAGTAAATTTTAATGAAAAAAAGCCATTGCTTTATTATAAGCTAGGCTATGGCTTCCTTTAAATCACTTCCATTTATTTCATCATCAACATCTTTTCTGTTTTTGGATTTCATTGATACCATTTTTTTTAGCATTTTCATGCAACAAATCAACAAATGTTGAATCTGCTATTGGAACTGCATTTTGAGTTTCAACAGATTTTCTAACCGTTTTCCACTTTTTCCATATTGTAAGCTGATTTTCAATTTTGTCCTTTAAAATACAAGTTTGAAATCCATGATCATTTGAGGAAGATTTCTATTTAATAATTTAAGGCAAGGATCCAAGTAACTTAGAATATTACTATTTCCTTGTAGATTTAAGCAAATACTATAAGTTATATAAATAAATAAGTACGAAATAATTGAGGTGATTTCTCGTTGAAAATTAGATAGAATTAATTTCCCCTACAATTAATTTTTTACTCAATTTTTTCTATCACCAATACTGTCCTTTTAAAAATTCGTTATAGATAGTTTTTTCATCACAGTAATAATGAATATCTGAAGAGTCCATATGAACACAGTCTTCATGGGCTCAGTCGTTGCATTCATGGCACTGAATTCAGTCTTCTCTAAAAGTTTCGCCACACACGCTGCATCCGATCTCTTTTCCTCGATCTTCTTTGGAAGATTGAATTTTTTTGTTGTCTTCAACGCCTTTTTAGTGCTTTTGCTTTTTGTTTTTTGCTTCGTCCTTTTTATTGCCTTTACTTTTCTGTATGTCCTCTACATTTTTTTATATTGTGAAGAGATCAAAATTTCGCTATTTTAAGTTTTTCGAGCCCGCGTTTTTTTTTTTTTTTGACGCGTCAGGAAATGGTAACAACGGATTTATTAACTCTGTCGTGCTAGTTGAAGGCAACGGTTCGGTTGCAGGCAATGTAAAACTAATGGACGGTACTGGCGATGAAGAATTGGCTGCTAAAGGCTGATTAGGAATGTTTTTCCTCCATTATTATTTCTCCCTTTAAATTTCGGCAAATTTCTACAAGAATAGAAATTTTTTTTAAAATAATTTTCATAAATAAACAAATTGACGAAGCAATTGTAGTTCGTTAAAACGATATTGCGAAATTCAAAACTTAAAACAATGTCCGGGGGTATCCGCCGTTATTATGTCCGGGGGTACCCGATCGCTATCATGGAACATTTTTAGTCACAACTCTTAAATTATAAAAAAAATGTAAAAACTACTATCATAAACTTTAAAAATATAAAATTTCCTACAACTTCAAACAATAGACAGGTACACATTTACCTTCGGGCATATACTCCTATAGGCAGCCTTCAGTGCTGAGAAAGCGCGACTGGTGTGCGAGAGAGAAAGGAGAATAAAAAGACATGCTATCTCACTCGCTCCGCGAGCTGATACAAGCATATACAAATTAAGTCTACATAATCACTTGGTTTTATTTTGATACCATTAGGTACCCAGATATGGTGGACGACCGAAGTAAACATGGCTTTCGCGCGACTGGAAGAGGGCTATGAAAACGCTTTAAAGGATTACCAAAGGAAACAGATCAACCAGTTGAACGCCCTTATAAATATGCTGCTGGGCGACCTAACGCCAGGCGAACGGCAAAAGATTATGACTATTTGCACCATCGACGTACACTCCAGGGACGTGGTGGCTAAGATGATCTTAATGAAAGTGGAAAACTCCCAGGCCTTCCAGTGGCAGAGCCAGCTGAGACACAGGTGGGATGACAAGAAGAAGGACTGCTTCGCTAATATTTGCGACGCTGAGTTCAGGTACTCGTATGAGTACCTAGGTAACACTCCGCGATTGGTTATTACCCCGCTAACGGATAGATGCTATATTACCCTCACTCAGAGTCTCCATCTGATTATGGGTGGAGCACCAGCCGGGCCCGCTGGCACCGGTAAGACGGAGACCACCAAGGATCTCGGAAAAGCGCTCGGGATGATGGTCTACGTATTCAACTGCTCGGAACAGATGGATTACAAATCCATTGGTAACATTTATAAAGGATTGGCCCAGACGGGCTGTTGGGGTTGCTTCGATGAATTCAACAGGATCTCTATCGAGGTGTTGTCCGTTGTAGCTGTGCAAGTTAAAGTGATACAGGACGCTATAAAGGATAAGAAGAAGAGGTTTCAGTTCTTGGGCCAAGAAATTGGGCTAGTACCTACGGTAAGAAATTCACCTAGATTTTTATTGCATTTTAAAGAGAGTAGCTTCAAGTGCCAATGGAATTAAAATTGTTCTGTTGTTGTTGAATAATTAATTTTTAGTCTTCAGTTCCATGTAATAGGTAAATCTTATTAAAAATTGCAGCATTTGGTCATACCTACTTATATTTTATGTAAATTTTTTCAGGTGTTTTAATATTCTTTTAAAAAAAATTGCATATTCAAGTAACAATAATTTAGTATGGACAAACTATGTTGTAACTTTGAAATAACTTGATCTGCAGGATTCCGTAGCAATTGTCAGTGACTGAAAAATTTCCGGATTCATATTTACATCGTCGGTAGTATTTATATTCGCTATGTGCACTGTCTATGGTGTTCCGATTCATGGCTCGTAATAGTTGATCTATGTAGTTCCGATCCTTGATTTTCGCAGATCAGTTGTTTCCAAATTCTAACCCTTCGTCTCTATTGAAATTATCTCGATTCGTCTGGATTTCTATTACTCTCCCGTAGAGTATTGGTCGAAATTTTCTCTCCTTCTTTAATCTCGTGTTAAAGTGTCTTTCCATTTATCTAGTTTATACTTTTGCACGGAATGTATGGAATGCTGAATACATCGGGGTCCTCGGATTCAGCTCGTCTAGGGAGAGGCTGTCCCTATCTTCCCTAAGAAGCTACAGATGATAATATTATGGCAATTGCTTAGATGCGGCCTTTCTTGTCAATACATCTGGCAATGACCTATCTGCCTTATCACAAGACGAGCAAGAAGTTAAAGACTTATATTTTTAATAAAAAAATACTGTGGTTCATTTTAGCAACTTCTGCATTTTTTTTTGTTAGCGAAAAACCGTTTTTTGACTTTTATGAATTTTTTAGGTTAATTTCACCGTTTATGCTCCACAGGAAGAGAACACTATCTTTCTTAGAATTTGTTTTCCTATATCACCATATTTTTTGTTTCCAGGTGGTATTTTTTGTAAATTTAACATGGCAGTGACAGACTGATTGATTATTTTAATCAAAAATTTCAAAAGCTTTTGTATTTTCATGTTTTGCTTTTATTCAAAGTTTTATATGTTGTGCTGAAAAAAAATAAGATTGAACATCAAAATTGCAAGACCGTACCGTATATCGTTTTACATTTGAGGATTATTAGATCAGAAATTACAGCAATTAGTGCCACTTTTGATAAAATTTTTTAAAACTTATGAAATGCTTTTTATATTTATAAACTTATGTAATGTTATACTTGGTTAGGTTGGCCTGTTCATTACAATGAATCCGGGATACGCCGGTAGAACTGAATTGCCAGAAAACCTCAAGGCCTTATTCAGGCCGTGTGCCATGGTCGTCCCAGATTTCGCCTTGATTTGCGAAATCATGTTGGTTGCCGAAGGTTTCTTGGAAGCCAGGCTGCTGGCAAGAAAATTCATAACCCTGTACACGCTGTGCAAGGAACTGTTGTCCAAACAGGATCACTATGATTGGGGCTTGAGGGCCATAAAATCCGTGTTGGTGGTGGCAGGATCTTTGAAGCGCAGCGACAGATTGCGGCCCGAGGACCAAGTGTTGATGAGAGCGCTGAGAGACTTCAATATACCCAAGATTGTAACTGATGATGTACCGGTAAGTATTTAATGAAAAGCTAATTTAATACCAGGTGGATGTGAGGTCCATATGTTCCAATAAATAGATCAAAAAAATAAAAAACTAGTAGAAGCATTAAATATTTTACTATTAAAATAATTTCACAATTATTCTATCAAAGTAAGTCCAGGAAAGTTGGACCAGTTTCAATATGAGACAGTTACATTAGCATGTATACCTACATGTCACTGGAAACAGTAAGTTCATTTATCTACGTCCGTATCAAAGTGTCGTTGTTTCTACATAACTTTCAGTGTAAAGGCTTCAAGGTTTTTATAAGAGCTTATAGATTAAAAATTTTTATTGTATTCTTTTATTACACAATTTCAGTTTAAGGTCTATCAGTATGAACATCCATTATTCATTTTTAAGGTGTTCATTTACTTCGCAATTAACATAGTTTTCATTAAGAATTCTAGGTAACTTACAACTCCTAGGTAATATAATAGGGCTAAAAGTATCATAATAAAATCAATGGTGATTATAATACACAAGTGAGGGCAATGCCATTAAGCAGAATTTGGTTTCGATACATTTTTCATAATTCTACGTTTTACTAAAAATATAGTACATAGTGTTTTTTATTAAAGTCGTATAACTGTCTTGCCCTACATGAATATCTAATTTTCGTTGGTTAGGGTGACACATATTGAAAGCGACGGACAAAATCTAGACGAAAATGATTCCCGACTTTTATTTTAAAACAAATTAACAAAATTTTTATATTAATTTTGTTTGAATCTAAAAGAGACTATTATAGGCGGAATTCTATATTTTTTTGGAAACTTTAAAAGACTGTATCACCTAGGGGATGAACATTTTACTAAGGTCATTTTTATGCAAAACGTGTTATTTTTAACTATAGATTCAGCGGTACAATTTTGCTACTTCTTTTGAAAACACCCTGTAGAGTATTCAGTAATCTATAGAATTTAACAATTCTCCACAACATTTTCCTATATTTTCCAAGTGTTTGAAATTGACTTTTAAACAATAAATTTAAGAAAGTATTTCTACAGCGCGCTACTTCCCTTTTTGAGATAACTGGAGAGTTTTCAGCCTACGTCTGTAGACTTTTTTTATTTTTAATGTAACAGAATTTCCTGCAGGACCTATACTATCAAACGTTTCAATAAAGAAATATGATAATCCATACTTTATTAAAAGTAAAGGTTAAAATAGTTATATCTCTTTATGCAAAGTAGCATATTTTGATTTACAAAAATTATTATAGAAAAAGGAATATGTAATTTCTCAATAGATAAAAGGACAGCGTGATATATTGATGATAATTTCCATTTTTGTATTATTACTTCAATCAAACATTTGGGGTTATCAAGCTTATCAACCACGTGAGGTTATGAAACCGGAAAATATCAATTTTCAGTTATTTTGAGGCTGATAAAATCGTTTAAATTAAATTGCAGCCAATATAATTCGATTCTGTTCTACTGTTAATTACTTACAGTAATTTTTGAAATGAAATTATTAAAATGTTTAAACTTGTTTTAAAAATGCAGAGGGTAAAAATCGAATTCTTAAAAACAAGTAGCCATGCTTTGATACCTAAACAGAAACGCTTGCTCTCATTCATTCTTAAATGTAGTAATTATTTAAAAATTCATCTACGTGTGTGTATGTTTTTCGAAATTGGTGATTTTAACACGAGAATTATTTTGATTAAACAAATTTAACGGAAATTTGATAATCTGACACGGACGTTACGGGCATTGGTGTTTAAAAATGTTTTACTTACATCATTGTAAAATAGATTTTTAAATATAAAAACATACAAATAATTTTAACCAAAATTTAGATATTCATGGGACTAATAGGTGATTTATTCCCTGCTCTGGATGTACCCCGTAAACGTGATTTGGAATTCGAGAAAATGATTAGGACCACGACTGCCGATCTGAAGCTACAACCAGAAGAAGGATTTATTCTGAAAGTGGTCCAGTTGGAAGAACTGTTCGCTGTGAGGCATTCAGTGTTTATTATCGGAAATGCAGGTAATTGTTACTGACTTATGTAGAATTCAACTTAGATTTATAAAAGAAATGTCAATTGTAGCCATTTCTGGATTTATTTTGCGTTTTTATTGTAAATTAAAAAGGTACAGCTTTTAGTGGTTGATGAAATTCAAACTCTTCTGGTTTAGATGTTAAATAGTAGTTAATTTTTTCCGCATGCAGAAATGTTTCAGGAAGTGATTTATATAAATGCCTGAAAAGCTTTAGTTTTCGAGATATAGACTATTTGAGAAACCTATACCAATGACGTGGCAACCAACCTGTTTAGTCATTGTCTTAAAGTTTTTGGAAAATTTGACAAATATTACTGGAGGTATATTTTGACACAGATTGAGGAATCTTGGACTACTGTCTTACCTAAGTGAGGATTAAGTTGGATATTCGATCAATTTGACCAGATCCCTTCTATTTTATTTTGACGAGCTATTTCACGTTATTTTCTTCTTTATATAAAGTAATCTTTCAGATCAGTGAATTGGCAGTAAATCTAAAACCATCACAAACAGTTTTAAAGAAAACATATTATAGAATTAAATTACTAATAGCTATTAATTTCAATTAAAGAGGAAGTCATTTGGAAAAATAATTTTTAAAATGCAGAAATAGGTTAGATTTCATATATCGCAATTTTATAAATACCCAATTTTAAATATGAAAAGCTGAAAATAATAATTAATGCAGAAAATTTTAATTTTCTGCGGGGCATTGTTCCTACAAAAATAAATTTTTTTAGTTAATGATTTTTTTTTTAACATTCTATTGTTGCACTATACAGGGTGTATCTAACTAACACCGAAAAAAATGTAAGAGGCGATTAATTCTCTGATGAAAATTAATAGGGTCTTTGGTATAAAATTTTTTGAAAAAACGATCCCCTGAAAAGTTACGCCCATCCAAAAATTAAAAAAAAAATGTTTTTCTTTTTATCTTCCAACTTGGTGAACGTTATTTGTCAAAAAAACTACACTAATTCAAATTTTTTCAATCATGAACTATTTATTATAACCATTGCAAAAAACAGGCCACTAGATCTTTCGGCAAAATACACTCGCGTTAAAAAGCTTATCTTTTTAAAAATGCATTGCCATATATTTAACTTAACTTTTCGAAAAAACTTGAAGATATCAAATATTTACAAAATGAATGGGGCTTTTTAGACGTATTTTTTAAAAGGAAAACATTTTACAAAAGTACTTCAGGGTTAAAAAATTTTTAAAAAGTGTAGAGTTCATGACAGATAATGTTCACCAAGTTTGGTTTCTTTAGCTTGATATAGGTACATGGAAGATAAAAAAGAAAAACAACATTTTTGAAATGTTTGGAGGGGCGTAACTTTTCAGGGGAGAGCTTTTCCAAAACATGTTATACCAAAGACCCCTATTAATTTTCATTAGAAAATCGCCCCTTACATTTTATTTATATACACCCTGTATTTAAAATAAATCTCCTATAATAGTAAAACATTTTTATAGATTTTTGTCTGTAGATAGGTATTATCGTTGATTCAAGCTTATTATGAGGAGAAAGATAGTTCGGTTTATTTTTCTTATAGAATAAAGAAATTTCTTTTCTTTGTAATGTAATTAAGAATCAAGTGCACCTATAGAACTTTCAAAATACACAGTAATGTGGAAATTGTGAAGTTTTAATTGGTAATGTGTACCAGTACTATCGGCCACAATTCTATAAAGAATCAGTAAATATCAGCGTTTATTTAATCAACCCATTAGCTCAAATGTCGTCAATTTGTGTCAACATATACGGAGAAATTTGCGTGAAAGTTACATTTTTCAAAAATGGTAACAGCCTTTATAGCCCAATCATTATAGACATGAAAGAGCCTGTTTCGGGAAAAAATACTATTAGAAGTTTCTCTGCGGAATATTGCTCGGAAACCTGTTATAAATAAAATATCAAAAAATCAACTCGAGGCTAGTTGGGAAACTGTTTTAACAGTGGTCAAAGTTATGGAAAAGTGGTTTTTTGACTCACGTAAAAAAACTATTATTCATAGCGAAAAAAAGTTTATACAAAAAAGGTAGGTATTAAATAAGCCTATAAAATGAGAAAAATCCGATTAAATTCCGATAATTTGTTTATGCACAAGAGCTCAAAAATGGTCGAAAATTGCCGTTTTTTCGATTGCTATTAATGCAATTTTCATCTCAGACACTTGTAATTCAAGATTTTTTAGGCTTTTTACATCCTTAATAAGTGGTAAAAATTTCAACCCGAAAGCTTCATTGGTTTGGCGTTGGCTGAATTTGTTATATAAGAAGATGCTATTTTCAATTCATTTTTCCCAAGCTAATAGGCGTTGTAGGGTTTCGATCATTACTTGTTTTTGTACCTAAATAGTTGTATTGACATATGCATTTACTGAGAATTTAGTTTTTCAAATTTAATTTGTTTAAAAATGACTGAAAAAATGTTAATATTTATTAAATTCTTAAGATAGGTAATTATTATAAAATAAAATAGTAACCTCTATACTTTAGTTTTCTTCGAATTTAAAAAAAAATTGTTGTAAGTTGATTAGAAGCTGAGATAATTTTAAAAGCCAAAATTTGGAGAGAGTATACATTAAGAGCTATATTTTCATGTCCTACATTAATATTAAGGTGAATTCAACTATTTAATTGCGAAAAAGAAGATAGCGGCGATGCGTTCTATTACTTCGTCTAGCGAACAAGTGGGGAGAGCGAGGCGGAGCATGCGCCCTTAACAATTTAATAAATATTAACATTTTTTCAGTCATTTTTAAACAAATTATATTTGAAAAATTAAATTGTCAGTAAATGCATATGTCAATACAACTATTTAGGTACAAAAACAACTAATGATCGAAACCCTACAACGCCTGTGAGCTTGGGAAAAATGAATTGAAAATAGCATCTTCTTAGATAACAAATTCCGCCAACGCCAAGCTAATGAAGCTTTTGGGCTGAAATTTTTACCACTTATTAAGGGTGCAAAAAGCCTAAAAAATCATGAGTTGCAAGTGTCTGCGATGAAAATTGCATTAATCATTAGCAATTGAAAAAAGCGAACAATTTCGACCATTTTTGAGCTCTTGCGCATAAACAAATTATCGGAATTTAATCGGACTTTTTTTGTATAAACCCTTTTTCTCTATGAATAACAGTTTTTTACGCGAGTCAAAAAACCACTTTTCTATAATTTTGACCATTGTTTTAACAAAGTTTACCAACTAGTCTCGAGTTGATTTTTTGATATATTGTTTATAACACGTTTCTGAACAATATTCAGCAGAGAAACTTCTAATGGTATTTTTTTCCAGAAAAAAGCTATAATGACTGGCCTATTACCTAGAAAACTATATTTTAAGACAATACAAACTTTTCCTTTTCAAACGATCCTGGAATATTTTTACATAGGTACTTGAACAACCTGTATAAAATTCTATAGCACTTGAGGGTATTGAAAGGTTTATAAAAAATATCCCGACAGTGTTAAGTAGAAACCTAATTAAAAGTTTTGCTCCCCCTATAACTGACTATTCTGATTTAGGCACCGGAAAGTCGATGGTATGGAAAACACTGAACAGAACTTATGCAAATCAAAAACGTAAGCCGTTTTATAACGATTTAAATCCTAAGGCTGTAACAAACGACGAACTGTTTGGAATAATTAATCCAGCCACAAGGGAGTGGAAAGATGGTTTATTTTCAGTAATTATGAGAGAACAGGCCAATTTAACAGGGGACGGTCCAAAATGGATTGTTTTAGGTAGGTTTGTTAAATTTTTAGCGGTGGATATCTCTCTAAATCAAAGTTGAAACTGCAGGAAAGTCGCTTATACGAATATTTAATCTAACAGTATATCGTATTTGTCGAAGTGAGTTTCTTTTACAATATAATAAAATAATGTTTCAAGTAAATGATTGTCTTAAATATAACAAGAGAGATAAAGAAGGAAATTGTATTTTAAGCTATAGGTATTGGCTCGAAAACCCTACATAAAATGTCACAGGTATGCTGCCAAACACTTCTTAAAAACTGAACAGACATGAGTGAAATTTGACACAGATGATGGTATAATCAGAAGAAACAACTCTTGTGACATTTTTGGTAAATAATGAATTTTTCTAGAAGGATATCTCAAATAAAATTCGATTCTGACAATCGTCACCGTTTTAGAGAAAATTGGCAATGTATGTTTCAGTAAAAAGACGTACATACTTTAAAAATTAAAAGCTCCACACAGCAGCTCAACAACACAGTCTAATAATTTAAATAAAACTCGGTCATTAATACATTTGTAACAAGAAATGAAATTGTCGACAATATTTTTTATTTCGAGTAGCAAATAGTTTTTAATATTCAATTATGCGAAAGTCAGTCACATATTAACATAAGATTTCTTAATCTATAATACACCGACTATCTTATCAATGAATTTAATTTTCTGTACATACTTAAAAATATAGAATAATTAAAAAATTTTTGAAAATGTATCATTTGTCAAATATCACACTTTCACGGAAATAATATAACATTTTTTGAAAGAGTGCATGTGATTCTATTGAATGTCGAAGCAACTAAAAATTAATAATTTCCTTTTCAACGGCTTATTTTGAATTGAACATAAATAAAATGCATATATTTGAATAATATATTTTGTCGGTGTATTTTTAGGATTGTGCGGATGATATTTTCGATATTTGTGGATATGAACGCTAATACAAATAGTGTTGATTGTGAGTAGGATAGAACACAAAAATTAATGAATATAGTATAAGTTGAAATTTCTAACAAAAATGTTGTTTATTTATTGGCGCTATTTATACAAGTTTGAGTTGTTTCGCGTTTTCTTAAAAAAGTGAAATAGCAGGATAAAACTTTTTACAGATTAGTTTGAAGAGCACAAAAATACCTACATTTTGATGGTGAAAAAGGGTACGATACTTTTTTTATTATCAAATTATTTGCAAATTAGTGAGCAGAAAACAAATATGATAATGAATTGAGGAACACGACGCTAACGAAAAGACATTTTATTACTAAAACAAAATGCATTTATAAAAGAACCTACCTAAGCATGCAGTGAAGATTAAATTCCTGCATTGAAAATAATGCTATGCATCTCAAGCATTTATCTTTACTTTTGTTAAAATTTAATTGTTCTTTCGTCACATAATATCAATATCTGTTTGTTATTGTTTTTGTTATTATTTTCAAGATTGTTATTGACTCACTTATTTGCTTAGGTTTAGGTAGGCTCTTTTATGAACGTATTTTGTTTTGGTAATTAAATGTCTTTTCGTTAGCGTAGTGTTCCTCAATTTATTATCATTATTTATTTTCTACTCACTAATTTGCGAATAACTTGATAACCAAAAAAGATATCTAACCCTTTTCCCCGCCAAAATGTAGCTATTTTTATGCTCTTCAAACTAATCTGTAAAAAGTTTTATCCTGCTATTTCATTTATTTAAGACACACATATCTGTGCATCACTCAATATAACAAACGTCACACACAAAACAAACTATAGATCACACATAATCATACTCAGCTAATAAAGTGTAAATCATTACATGACAAGAATTCCCTATAGTGGAAGAATGCCTTCCCAGGAAAAACCTCTTCACCGTATTCTTAAAGGATGTCTGACATGTAATATATTTCATTTGTAAAGGTAACCGATTATACATGAAAATCGCCAGATAATTTGGGGTGTTTTGTGTTATACATATTTTGATTGTAGTAGTTTTATGTTTATGTTGTATTGTGTTTATGTAGTAAAAAAACGGAAAAATAAACCCACGATTGGTTATTGGTTACTTAGACAGAAAGGGAAAACATATTTTGATTGTAGCAGTTTTATGTTTTTATCAAAATAAAGGTTGATTTATAATAAAAATAAATTTGATTCTTTATACTCTAACGAAAATAAAATGTTTTGGAAATGTGAAATATCTTTTCTTACAAATCTTCCTTGTTCGTTTATATATTCGCATTCGTTAACAAAACACAGTGAAATGTGTGAATACGAACACAAATGCAAATTTAATATTTGATGCATATAATTTGCGAATACAAACACAAATATTAAGAACATTCTTACTGTTGGTATCTTTAACAGCACACATTTTCCAAGCAAAATATTTTTTACCAAATGTTTTCGGGAATTTGCCTATTGTTTAAAATCACATTTCTCCTCCTGTTGCAATTTGACTATTTTAGAATCACCTGCATTATGTATTAATCTCGTAAGATACAAGAAACTATACAGGGTGTATCACGAAGAGGGCCCAGTGGGATTATCTCTAAAAGTAGTTAGAATTGAAATCTGAAAATTTAGCACTTGATGATGACTTCCGGTATAACCGGAAGTGCGAGGAAGTTGACACTACTTTCAGTGAATAGATCTTTTTGATAAACCCCTGTATACAAATATTCAGATTTCAATTCTGACTACTTTTAGGAACGTCAATTACTAATAGTTTTGCTTGCTATTTACAGATGGTGACATCGATCCCATGTGGATTGAATCTTTGAATACATTAATGGATGACAATAAAGTATTGACTCTGGCCAGTAACGAACGTATAGCTTTAACGGCTTCGATGAGGTTATTGTTTGAAATAGCCAATTTGAGAACAGCTACGCCGGCGACCGTTTCCAGAGCTGGGATTTTATACATCAATCCGGCCGACTTGGGTTGGAATCCGTTCATAGCATCGTGGATAGACACCAGGACGTTGCAGAGCGAGAAGGCCAACCTGATGATACTCTTCGACAAGTACGTTCCCCCCTGCCTCGATGCGTTGCGCACTAAATTTAAGAAAATAACTCCTATATCAGACATTGCACATTTACAAATGTTGTGCTGTCTCTTAGACTGTTTTCTGACACCACAGAATGTACCTCCGGATTGCCCAAAGGAATGGTACGAGATATACTTTGTATTTTCCACGGTGTGGGCTTTCGGATCTGCTCTATTTCAAGATCAAATCATCGACTGGAGAAACGAATTCAGCAAGTGGTTCACTAACGAATTTAAAACAGTAAAATTTCCCATTGGAGGAAATGTCTTTACTTATTATATCGAAGAGGAGAGCAAAAGATTTTTACCATGGACAGATTTAGTGGCCGACTTCGAATTAGACTCTGATATACCTCTGCAAGCCACTTTGGTCAATACTGCTGAAACAACTAGGATTCGTTTCTTTCTCGATCACTTGGTATCGAAAAAAGCTCCCGTGATGTTAGTAGGCGCAGCTGGTAGTGGCAAGACAGTAATCGTTGCGGATAAACTGAACGCACTACCTGACAGCTATTTGATTACTAATGTGCCATTTAATTTCTATACAACTTCCGAAATGCTGCAAAGGATATTAGAGAAACCGTTGGAGAAAAAAGCGGGGCGCGTGTACGGACCCCCTGGTAGTAAAACAATGATTTACTTCATAGACGACATGAACATGCCCGAAGTCGATAAGTATTTTACCGTCCAACCTCATACACTTTTGAGGCAGTACATGGATTACCAGCACTGGTACGACAGGCAAAAATTGGCCCTCAAAGATATCCACAACGTGCAGTTTGTGTCATGCATGAATCCAACTGCGGGTTCCTTCACAATAAATCCTAGACTTCAAAGACATTTTAGTGTTTTCGCCGTAAGCTTTCCTTCCCAAGAAGCCTCGTATCATATTTATAACTCGATATATCAACAACATCTGACCGATCCACTGAAGAAATTTAATTCCAACGTTATTAAGGTATGTCCGAACATTGTACAAGCAGCTTTGGCATTACATCAAAAAGTCGCCACTACTTTTCTACCAACAGCTGTCAAGTTTCATTATACTTTTACTCTGAGAGACATGTCGAATATATTCCAAGGAATGTTATTTGCTACTGGTGATGCTGTTACCAATCAAACAAGTTTCATTAGACTGTGGATGCACGAGGCCAGCAGGGTGTATGGGGATAAACTTGTTGAACGCAAAGATATCGATTCATTCAACAAACTAGTGATTGAATCAGTCAAGAAAAGTTTCGAGGAAATTGACGACAATGATGTGTTCGAGAAGCCTTTAATATTTTGTCATTTCGCTGAGGGTATAGGAGATCCAAAATATTTTCCGATTCGCGACTTTGTCCACCTAAGTCGTTTACTGAATGATGCATTAGGGGGTTACAACGACTTAGTGGCTGCTATGAATCTAGTGTTATTTGAAGATGCAATGTACCACATTTGTCGTATAAATCGTATAATGGAGGCCCCAAGAGGTAACGCGCTGTTGGTAGGAGTAGGAGGCTCGGGTAAACAGTCTCTTACAAGACTAGCTGCGTTTATATCGTCATTCGAAGTTTTTCAAATTCAACTGAAAAAAGGATATTCAATGAACGACATGAAAGCGGATATTGGCAAACTGTATCTGAAATCTGGCTTAAAAAGTATCGGCACCGTTTTCTTGATGACCGATGCTCAAGTACCCGAAGAGTCATACTTGGTCCTTATAAACGATTTACTTGCTTCTGGAGAAATTAGCGAATTATTACCCGACGAGGATGTTGAAAACGTAATAAACGCTGTAAGGGGGGAAGTCAAGAGTACTGGACAGGAGGACAGCCGTGAAAATTGTTGGAAATTCTTTATAGACCGTGTGAGGAGATTGCTGAAAGTGGTTCTTTGTTTTTCTCCTGTTGGTTCTACACTTAGGGTGAGGGCCAGAAAGTTTCCAGCATTAGTAAATTCAACTTCTATTAATTGGTTTCACGAATGGCCTCAAGAAGCTCTAAAGTCAGTATCTAAAAGATTTTTGTCAGAGATCGAGGTATTGCCACCAAAACTGGTGGCAACTGTGTCAGATTTTATGTCTTATGTTCATTCCACAGTTAACGATATGTCCCAAGTTTATTTGGTGAATGAGAAACGTTATAACTATACTACACCTAAATCATTTTTGGAGCAAATCGATTTATATTCGAAATTATTATCAGAAAAAACTGCTGATGTGAAAAACAACATAGTACGTCTTGAGAATGGTTTAACTAAGCTAGCGTCTACATCAGAAGAAGTAGATGGATTGAAAGATATATTAGCCGTACAAGAAGTGGAATTAAAGGAAAAGAACGAGGCTGCTGGTAGGTTAATCGCTGTGTTATCGGCAGAAAATGAAAAAGTTGCAAAGGAACAACAAATAGCAAGTGAGGAAGAAGCAAAGGTTAAAGTAATAGAAGAAGATGTATCCGTGAAAGCAAAGATATGTCAAGAAGACTTGTTAAAGGCCGAACCAGCTTTAGTTGCAGCACAAGCTGCACTTAACACACTGAATAAAAATAATTTAACTGAACTTAAATCGTTTGCTACGCCTCCAGAAGCAGTTGTTGCTGTATGTGGTGCTGTTATGGTCTTATTCTCCAAGAAGGGGAAGATTCCTAAAGACAGAAGTTGGAAGGAATGTAAACTTATGATGGCCAAGGTTGACCAATTTCTTAACGACCTTATAAATTATGATAAAGATAATATGGCGCCCGAAATTGTTAAAGCAACTCAAGAATATTTAAAGCTTCCAGATTTTAGCCCTGAAAAAATATTTTCAAAATCCATTGCTGCTGCTGGCTTATGCTCTTGGGTAACTAACATACTAAAATATTATGATGTTTTCGTTGTTGTGGAACCTAAACGAAGAGCGTTAGCTCAAGCTAATAAAGATTTAAATGATGCTCGAAGTAAACTTGCAGAACTTAATGAGAAGCTGCAGGAGTTGGAAAAACAGTTAGGAGTGTTACGGGCGGAATTTGAAGAAGCAACAAACGCGAAATTGAAATGTCAAGCAGAAGCAGATGCTACAACTCAAATGATAGATTTGGCAAACCGCCTGGTGAACGGATTAGCATCTGAAAATATACGTTGGAGGGAACTGGTAAAACAGTATAAGCAATCAATCGTTACGATGCCAGGTGATGTTTTACTGGTAACTGCATTTATTTCCTATGTCGGATGTTTCTCTAGACAATACCGTCTAGATCTTTTCAAGAAATACTGGCTGCCTTACTTAAAAACTTTGTCTACTCCTATACCAATGACCGAGGGTTTGGATCCTTTATCTCTTTTAACGGATGATGCAAAAATCGCTCAATGGAATAATGAAAGCTTACCAAATGATAGAATGTCCACTGAAAATGCTTGCATCCTTACAAACTCCTCTCGTTGGCCATTAATGATTGATCCTCAGCTACAGGGCGTGAAATGGATAAAAACTAAATACGGTGAAAATCTTGTAGTTGTGAGGTTGACCCAAAGGACATATCTGGATAAGATAGAAACTTGTATATCTAATGGGTCTGTCATTTTGCTCGAAAATATCGGGGAAACGTTAGATGCTGTGCTAGACTCTATTCTGGGAAGGGTTCTCATTAAAAAAGGAAGGGCGATAAAAATTGGAGATAAAGAAGTTGACTACAATCCTAAATTCAAAATGATTCTTCATACAAAACTAGCTAATCCACATTACAAGCCAGAAATTCAGGCACAAACAACTTTAATTAATTTCACCGTAACTAGAGACGGTTTAGAAGAACAGTTATTGGCCGAGGTCGTAAAAGCCGAAAGGCCTGATTTAGAAACATTAAAGTCGTCTTTAACAAAACAACAAAATGATTTCAAAATCACTCTAAAGAATTGTGAGGATAATTTATTGTACAAGTTATCTTCGGCAACAGGTAACATATTAGGAGACGTAGAACTCGTGCTGAATTTGGAAACAACAAAGAAAACTGCTACGGAAATAGCCGTTAAAGTTGAAGAAGCTAAAGTAACGTCAGTGAAAATAGATGAAGCTAGAGAACAATATCGTCCCTGTGCTGCTCGAGCTTCTCTCTTGTATTTCATTTTAAATGATTTGAATCGCATAAACGCTATTTACCAGTTTTCCCTGAAAGCTTTTAGTGTTGTATTTAAGGACGCCTTGGCCAGGGCAGAAGCGGCGGAGAAACTCAAAGACAGGGTAGTTAATTTATTAGATAGTATTACGTTTTCTGTTTTTATGTATACATCCAGAGGACTATTCGAACGGGACAAATTAATATTTACTGCCCAGATGGCATTTCAAATATTATTGCAATTAAACGAAATCATTCCCGAAGAACTCGATTTCTTGTTAAGATTTCCATCTATGCCGAACCTTATTTCCCCTGTAGATTTCTTGAACAGTGTTTGCTGGGGAGGTATTAAATCGCTGTCCCTTTTGGATGCATTTAAAAGTCTGGACAAGGACTTGGAAGGATCAGCGAAAAGATGGAGAAAATTTGTCGACAGTGAGTGTCCCGAAAAAGAGAAGTTACCAGGAGAATGGAAAAACAAAACTAGTTTACAAAGACTTTGCATCATGCGATGTTTGAGACCAGACAGAATGACTTATGCAGCTAGTGTATTTATAGAGGAAAAGATGGGTGTTAAATATGTCACCTCCAGGACAGTGGAGTTTGAAAAGTCTTACGAAGAGACGAGCGCGTCTACTCCTACATTTTTCATTTTGTCACCTGGAGTCAACCCACTGAAAGACGTTGAAAAGCTTGGTAAAAAATTAGGATTTATGTTTGATAAGGGGAATTTCCACAGCGTTTCTCTTGGACAAGGTCAGGAGATTGTGGCGGAAAATGCCATGGATCTAGCATCCAATGAAGGCCATTGGGTTATTCTGCAAAATATACATCTAGTCCAAAAGTGGTTAGCTACTCTTGAAAAGAAGATGGAACAATGTGCAGACAGAGGGCATGTGAATTATAGGCTGTATTTGAGTGCAGAACCGTCGGCAGATCCTCAGGAGTGTGTGATTCCACAGGGAATATTGGAGTCCTCCATAAAAATTACAAATGAACCACCTACGGGAATGTACGCAAATCTTCATAAGGCCCTCGATAATTTTAATCAGGAAACACTAGAAATGAGTTCGAAGGAAGCCGAGTTCAAGGCCATCTTATTCGCACTGTGTTACTTCCACGCCGTCGTGGCAGAGAGAAGGAAGTTTGGACCTCAGGGATGGAACAGAAATTACCCATTTAATGTAGGGGACTTAACTATCAGCATTAGTGTGTTGTACAATTATTTGGAGAGCAATAACAAGGTAAGTCATTAATATACAATACTAGTTTGTTACAGTATTAATATAATGGACAACAAAATAATATGTTGTTTACTTTAGAGAAAGCTGATAGGGTTTGGTAGATATTAATTTTTCAGAGAGGTGGGAGACTATTACCCTATCTCTATACTGTAACTCGAATTAGAGTATTTAAAGTGCAACCGAGCCCTTCGTCCCCTGAACGACTGAATCACACTGGCTAGTCAGTGGGACAGTGGGGTGGGTAAGAGGAGATGAGGTTGATGCGCTACCTGAATTAAAACTACTTTGAGACACCTAATTCTACTCTATTAACGGAATTTACTTTCGAATCCCGGATTGTGCTCTTTAAAAACAAAATATGCAGGTGTAACACAATGTATCAATACTTATGCAATATTATCTCATTTGATAAGGTTTTATCTGCAGAAAGTGATCACTTGCGCTTACATAGTCTAAATACAAAAAAATATACTTGATCTCTCAGATTTACTAAAATTGAGCCCAATCTGGGTGAACGTTAACTTATACTCAGCAATAAATCAAGAAATACTATTAAATGATAAACCAACAGTGAATAAAACCGTAAATACTATGATTATCAGTAATTAATACTCCATTTTCAACATGGAACACATAGATTACAAAATCTCGTGGTACTTAGCTGTACTCGACAGCCAGTCAAGTCTCCAGTTGGTCTCTATGGCCTTTTATACCAAGGTCTTCGGAATGGGGTGGTCGATCGGCAGAGGCACGAAAATTCAGGTCCAGTACAAAAATCCAGTCCGTACCAACAAGGACGGTCCCATATAAAATGAGGTCCGCTACGAAATGGGGGTCCCGTACAAAATTCAATGGGGGTCCCGTACAAAATGCAATGGGGGTCCCGTACAAAATGCAATGGGGGTCCCGTAAAAATTGCCCTGAAAGTACACCAATCCTTAGATTTCGTGTATGGCTAGCTTTACGACGAAAAACAATGAAAATTACTTACGTGGTTGGAGATACGGCAGAAAGTGGCTTAGTACAACAGTCCCACGCCCGGGTGACGTCGTATGAACATGATCCAACCAAAAGGCTATATTTTCAATATCAACTCGCAACCAAACCAAACTCCACGTATTGAAATTAACTATCCACTGGACAGTCACCGGCAAAGCAGTTTTAATCCTTAGAAATCTCCAAGAGGCACTATATTCTGCTTTCCATGCAAACCCAACGGCGTGGTCACTCAAGCACAAGAAAAAAAATGCCGAACGCCCTTTGCGGACCGAAATTCTAGAACAATTCCTGCCAACCTTACCCATTTCTAACAACATAGATCCAAATTTCCCCAAAATCGACACAAGCGTCTCAAAACTAATAACATCAGAATTTTTTCGCAATCCAAAATCATCAAACTACGAGAGTACGCCCATAGTCGCAATAGTTGTGGTGCGTTTTATCGCCGCAGGAGGTTAAACCGCGCGAACTTCGCCAAGCGACATAGGCAACCCGCGTTTCGAACGCAGGGCTGGCTGATCGCTGACCTCGCGCTCCAAAATCTAATTTATTCGCTCCTGAAAAATTAAACCGTAACAAGTTATAGTCTATTAATATTAATATACCTTAAACCTGTAAAATATTGTGTGTGACATAATAATATGTAAACGTAGAAAGAAACAAAAAAATTGATTAGTATACAGGGTGTTATTTAAGTACGTGGACAAACTTCAAGGGGTGATTCTTTGAGTGATTCTAAAGACGAGAAGTTTATTAATGCCCGTTTGCACCGTAGTGTTTAATCCAGGATTAAGTTTGAACTTGGATTAAAATATAAAATTTTGTTTGCACCGCGCACCGTTTCAAATCTATGTATTAATCTAGGATTAATTTAAATCCTCAAATTCGACCGATTAAACTTGGATTAATGGGAAAACATAAATTGACACTATTGACAGTACTTAGCTGCTAGTTATAACTTTTTTAAATAGTTAGGTATTTCTTCCCTTCTTTTTCTGTGAATGAGTGAGTAGTGTTAAGACATCATTGAGAACTTTGAAATGGAATGATATTCTGACTTTGATGTATTGGATGATTTTGATATTTACGAAATTATAGACTTTGGATTTCCCAGAAAAATATATATTAGAAATGATCTATTTCATAATATAGACAATACGACTTTTTTCCGCAGATTTAGGTTGACAAAAAAGACCACATTACATCAGCTAACTTTAATTGAAGAGGAGTTGGAATATCCAAGTGACATGTAAGTTTTACGAACATGTCGGCATGAACACGATGCAACTGGCAATCAGAATTTTGGAGTTATAAAAAACTTTTATTCTTAATATGATTTTGTATTTCTAGGAATAATAGTGTATCTCCTATCCAACAATTCTGACTACTCTTCGGTTCTATGCTTGCGCTGGTCATTTGTCTGCCATTGCAGACTTTTCAGGGATGGACATATCAACAGTGTCCAGAATAATTGTACGAGTATCAATTGCAATAGCTCGGCTTTATCAGAGATACATAAAAATGCCAAACCCAGAAGAAATAGTTAGTGTGCAACATGAATTCTATAAAATTGCATCATTTCCTAGGGTGTTAGGTTACTAAACTAAATCTTTTATCACAATAAAGTAATTTAGGTTATTACGTTAGGTTTGAGAATTTGACTTTGACATATTTTTTTCCGAACATAACAGGACATAAGTTAGCAGCATAATAAACAGTATTCTTAAAGCACAGTTTAATTTAATCTACAATCGGCAGTAAGTGGTGCAAAAGCTAATTATTAAAACCTAGTTTTAAAATTAAACCAAGTTCAGTTAAACTTGGCTTAAATTCCGGTGCAAACGGACATAAAACATTGGTCCGGTAGTGCTTCGTTTTGAAGATACAGTGGCCCAGTGGGCAACCAATATTTTTGACAAAAAAAAAATACGTTTGGTTACAATCTTCCATTAATTTTTCGTTTAGTATTTTCCAAATTTGACACTGAATCTTTACGTCAATGAGAGAAACATTATATGAACTATCCCTACTATTTACGCAGGAGGAACTCACCTCCCAATTATTTTTAATTAAAATTGGACTCCTTGTATATATTTTTTTATTTACTTTGTATTTTGTAAATTGAATATTATTTGAAATATTTTACTGAATAAGATATTCTTGTTTAGGTTCCCTGGGAAGATTTACGGTATCTTTTCGGTGAGATAATGTATGGGGGGCACATAACCGACGATTGGGATAGACGATTATGCCGCAGCTACCTCTTGACTTACATGCAGCCAGAATTGGTGGAGGGCGAGTTACAGTTCGCACCAGGTAACAATTTGGAATTCGTAAATGAAATAGTACGTGTATAGTCCAATTAAATGAACCTTTAAATCGCAATTTGGTCAACTTGCCTGAATTTATGATATAAGTTAGTTTAGGGTATATAATAACAATAAGTGGCAGTAATTTTTGTTTCAACCCCCGGCCAGGGGTGAAAAAAGATAAAATAAAGGGGTTTTTCAATATAACTCAAAAGGGGTAAGAGCTAGAAAAAAAAGTCGTAAAAAATTAGTAGAGCAAAAAATTCTACATAAAAATGGTATATTTTTTCTTATAGCTGTTTTGCATTGACAATTTATTGATGAATTAATTCATGAAGTCGCTTCATCAAGAAATTGGACAAGTGTAATGCACCAAATCTGCGGTCAAATAACTTCATGAATTTATTCATCAAGTTCTTGACGAATTAGAACATGCTCTAATTTTCGTCAATTTCTTCGTGAAGTTCGGAAGTACCAACCCAACATATTTCCAGCCTCAGATCAGTAATGAGGTTATGTTATTGAATATGTAAATAATTGTGTGGCGTCGTACTAGTTTTGCAATGTTTTTACTGATTTGTTACAAAAACTAATGTTTATATGATATGTGTCAAAACGGTACCGCTGTTGTGTCACTACAATTATGAGTGGAAAGGTGACATTTTTGAAGTTTATTTGCTTCTTTGATTCATTAGTAGAACTGATTCATGCGTCAAAAAACTTTACAAAGTCTGTAGCAGTGTAAAACCACTGTTTACCAATAAATTCGTGAATTAATTCATGAAGAACTTCCTCAATTTATTCATGAATAAATTGTCAATGTAAAACAGCTATAATACCATTAAAATTAACGGAGTTAGGGAGACTAGGAGTTATGGGATGATTTCAGAAATTTAAAAATTCATAAGAAGCAGAAAAATTAACGACTAGGGAGACTAGGAGTTATGGGATGATTTCAGAAATTTAAAAAATCGTAAGAAGCAGAAAAATTAATGAATTTTATTATTTTTTAAAAATAATCTACTCTAAAAAATGTAAACTTTCTGTTGAGGGAAATAGATATATTTTTTAATTTTTAATAAAAAAGTTAAAACAATTAAAATTTTTTAGTCGTTTATTTAAAATAAAAAAGTTGCTTTCGATATTTTGTTTTATGACAAAGATAACAAATCACATTCGCTTTGAGAAATTGTTATAACTTTTTTTATTAAAAATTAAAAATGATATCTATTTCTCTGAAAAGATAGGTTGTATTTTTAAGAGTAAATTAGAAAAAAAGTTATAAAATTCATTAATTTTTCTACTTGTTACGATTTTTTAAATTTCCGAAATCATCCCTTAACTTCTAGTCTCCCTAAATTTGTTAATTTTAATAGTACAAGAAAAAGTCAATACACCATTTTTATGTAGATTTTTATGATCTACAACTTTTATAAGAAACTTCTTTTTCTAGCTCTTACCCCTTTTGAGTTATCTTGAAAAACCCTTTCATTTTATCTTTTTTCACCCCTGGCCGGGGGTTGAAAAAAAATTACTGTCACTTGTTGTTACCTATTATATACCTCAAACTAACTTATATCAAAAATTCAGGCAAGTTGACCAAAATTTCGATTCAAAGGCTTATTTAAGGCCTGCACATACATACGCGGTAAGGTAAGCGGTGGTAAAATTTTATTTTAATAATTTTTAGCGTTTCAAACTACATATTCTGAATTAATAATTATTACAGAGCCTTCATAAATGATCACAAGCCACGTGACCAGTAAATTTGTTTGGAACTGTAATTTTATTTCTTTCATATTGGCAATTAAATTTCGGTAAAATTAAAAGTTATAAAAACAATAAGATCGGAGTCATTTTTCGCGAGATTCTATTGAACTAATCAACGATTTCATTATCTCGAGCCGAGACGTAACGATTTGTTATATGTAGTTCATTGTAAACGTATCAAGACACCAAGATTTAGGGATTTTTTGTTACCTATGCCATTCAGCAATGTTGGATTGCCTAAGCTCGAGGATTCACGTGGCTTGTAAACATTTATTAAGGCTCTGTATAACGTGCCTGTACGCACCAAATCCAAGAAACAGAAACCGGCGTTTTTGCATAGAGTGCAAGTAGTGATTTCAAGGATGTCGCTTGCAACGATTTTTGCCATTTATAAATAAAAGGTCATTAACACCAAATTCTCGAATGTTTAATTTGAATAAGACATTTTGAATTAAAACAACCTAAATCAATCTACAGTCTACAAAGAGTAAGCCAGACATGTCTGCCGTCACTCCGTGCAATTAACCACACTGAACTTGACATAACTGCTCATTGGAAATAATTGATCAGTTGATTGAATGGGGCAATGCAGGGTCGACCGGTTTCGAGTAATAATTCTAATAAATATTGGTTGCAAAACCCTCTAATTTTTTCTCTCACTTCTAAAATAGAATATGATGGACCAAAAGTAGAGACTATTGAAGTAGATATTCTATAGATTTTTTCACAGATATTTTAATATTTGTTTATTTATCTAAAATGGCGGTTTTTGTTTAAGGGTTCTTTGCACCTCCCAATACCGACTACGTCGGCTACCATCGTTACATTGATGACAGATTGCCCTCGGAAAGTCCGAATCTTTACGGTTTGCATCCCAACGCGGAAATTGGATTCTTGGCCTATACTTCCGAGGTAATGTTTAGGACGATCTTTGAGATGCAACCGAGGGATGCTGGAGCTGCTGCAGGAGGGGGCATGTCTAGAGAAGACAAGGTAACTGATAGGAATTATACACTGATTTTTTCACCATTTCGAATATTCCATAATACGAGGTTTTCGAATATTCCATAATACGAGGAAAAGTCGTTAAATAAAAGGGAATATTTAATAACAGTTTTGCACATTCGATATTTTTTCTGTTGTCAACAGCGTAGGTTAAGCGTATAGTAGGTTATGTTTACTGGTTTTTAGACTTAACACATCGGCAAGCAATTTACTTACGTTTGAACGGCAAGTAAAATTAACGTAATTCATATATTTTACAAAACAGCTACAAAAAATGACGAAATTTTTATTTATCTAAAGAACAAACATTATTTTTTGCACAGTCGATCTTTTTTTGTTCATTTCCAACATCTGTTGTTAACGCAGTAAATTATGGTTATTGGTTGTTAGGCCCAAAACGGTAAGTAATGTAAGTAATATTAATATAACCTCCCAAAAGGATAAAAAATACCTAAATATCTATACAGGGTGTCTCACTACGAACTCCATCGATGGATATCTGGGAAACCACTTGAAGGATTTTTTTGAAATTGTGGTAGTGTGATACGGGCGATGGGGTCTACCAAGTTAAAATTTTTCAAGGTTATCGTACTTCCGGTTCATATTTCAAATGGAACTCCCTGTATATTATTGCATTTTTGGAAGGAGCATTTATTTTTTAAGTTGAAAACATATAACACACTCCGTACTTAGGATTGACCGTTTCCGAGATATTTTGATTTTTTGGCAAAAATTGACACACGCAGACTGTCAGCAAAATTTAGTTTTCCCGGAAACACAGGTTTATTTCTTTTGTGCGAATTGGATATTTTGTTGTGAAAGATCTAATTTATCGGATTTAACATGAAATTTTCCAGTGTCTGTACAAGGTGGCCAAAAAAAAAGATTGAATATGAGGTTCAGAAAATGTGAAAAACTCGAAATTTTTTAATGGAAACCCCCCATTTTTTAACGTACTCGCATTGTGCTCTAATATTGAATGTATATACCTAAACCCAGTCGTTTTCATTTTATGTATAATAAACGTTTCCCTTTTCATAAAATGGTGTTTTCATTTGTTTCGCACATTTTAGGTTGGCTGTGACAGGAAGTAACAATAACAGGTTTTTAATTGTCAAATTTATTTTAATAAATGTTCAAAATGTCTTCCTTCAACTTCTAAACTTATTTCACACCTTCGGATTAGTTCCTTGTGGGTCACTGCTCTAATAGAATCCGGTAATTTTAGACAGACAACAGAAAACTACTATGTCCACGTCGTTGTTTCTAGTTACGCCAAAAATAGAATATTCACCAGCAATTTATATTTCTACAGGTAAAAATTTAGTTAAGTATTTGAAATTTGGAAAATTAATAAACTTGAATGATTTTTTTGGTGACAAATTTTGAGTATTTACATAAAACGTGGTATTTTTTATTGCAAACACATTGCAGAATCGTATATATAGCTTTTCAGTAGGAGAAAAATTGAATCTGCAGTAAAAAATAGAGGTTCCTTATTGAGATTTCAAACTTACCACGTATAAAAGATTCAGGAAAGGGACTAATTTTAGCTCTAATATATTTCCCCTCCTGAATGATTAAGTTTTAATTATTGACATTTTTTTCGCAGGATTATATGGCGAATACGTAGGTACTCCTTCTCTTACATACTCTTAAAAGGATTGTAAAAAAAACATTTTTTTTTCACTATCATCGTCTTTTCTACCAATCTAATTCGTTTACTCTTATTTTGTAAAAGCCTCACCAACAAAAACAAAAAAGTGAACATGAAGCCTAGCAGACTTATTCAAATAAAGCTAAATATGTATAATCAGAATATCATTATTTCCCTGCGCTATACTTACAAAAGAGGGAATATTTGATTTTATAGTAAATTACCTATTCACTAGGAAGACAGGATAATAGTTTATAAAATCAGAGGTTATACATGATCCAGTTAAAAAAGTGCAATAAATTCTGGTAAAACTACAGGGTGATTCACAACTTATCCAAAAAAATTTGGGAATAGATGCGGCATGAGAAATGGAGTCAATATCGTAAAAAAAAAGGTTTGTAAAATCCTTACAGTGTCCGAGAAAAAAAATTATTAATGTTATAGTACATTCAACCACTACATAGCTGGACAACTGTAGTCTCTAGCGTGCAGAAGTGCATTTTTAAATCATTTTCGAACTGCCCTTTTTGATTTTTTCTTTACAAAACTGAATTTATAAGGGTCCCCTGTACATCCAGAATTTTTATTTTATAAGTTCTGAATCACCCTGTATAATCATCTAAGATAACGTCGGTTTAAAATAGCAAAGATGATACCATTTATGAGAAAAACAAAAAAATAAGATGATTTTTCTTTATAAACCAGGTCTATAGTTAATAGAAAAAAAAGCAGATTCTCCTTCTTCTTCTTCTACTACTTTTATTTTTGAGATACAGGGTGTCAAAAATGATTTTTATAAATGTGTTGTTTCTAAAAATGTAACAGTTACTAACTTCGTCAAAATCAATAAATTTTTATGCCTAAACACCGCTTGTATGTCAACCACATTCTATTAAAGCAGCCATTGTGAATTGTTTTGTTTATTCATATACACTTTAACAATATTATGTGTATACACTGGTAAAATACTTTTCCATCTTTTGTATTAATTTAATTTTCTAAATCACAGGTTAAAAGTGCTTTAGAGGACATTATGGATAAGCTTCCAGAGAGGTTTCCTGTTGCTGAAATGATTGCAAAGGTCGAAGACAAGACGCCGTACATCATTGTGGCTTTCCAAGAATGCGAAAGGATGAACAATCTCACATCAGAAATGAAGCGTTCTCTACATGAACTTGATCTAGGTAACTGTCTAAAATAATTGCATAAGAATTTATCAACGAGGCGCAACGTTAATCCATTAAATATACAATACTAGTTTACATAACCAATGTTTAATCCGAGTAATGAACGTTGCGCGAAAATTTTCCGCTCCTATTGCGCGGAAGTGAAGAAAAATATAAAAAGCGGGTTTGTGTAGTCGCACAATTACGAGTCGTACATTTGGAAATATTATTCTGATAAGCTGATTTAAGTACAAATGTTTACTTTTCATTTAAGTTAGCCAATCAAGATATTTTCAAATCGTAATTCGAAAAGTCGTGACTCACATAGGGCATTGCAAAAAATAATGGTGAGGGTCTCAGGCAAAAACAAGTAATAATATATACACCGATCGAAATAACTCATTTAGAGGGAAAAAAGTGGAAATGGTAAAGGGGATTATAATAAATGTAAAAAAAACATAAACGTAAAAAAATATAAATGCGTGAGTAGGGGTGACGGAGAGTTGATTTCCGAGAAAAACGCGAAAAACGGTTTTTTTCTTATTTTTAATTTTTTATTTCTCATTTCCGCAAAAATAATTTAGATTTGACGAAACTTGGTGAAAGTATACCTACCTTTCTGTGTCTTAAATAACCACAAATCTTTTTAAATAAAAAAATCAAGAAGTTTCCCAGATATTAAATTTTTCCGGTCTAAAACACTTTTTTCAAAGAAAAATTCTACTTAGAAAAATCATCGTACAGAATTCTGCCGGTAATCATTTTTTTCGTTTTTAAATATACTTTTTGGTGAAATAAAAAAATGTGTAAACGCAGTTCTAAAATATGCTCAAAAATGAAAAAATGAAAAAATACTTGCAACAATGACTTTTTCAGTAATTGTTGATAATTTGTTTAAATTTAAAAAAAAATCAAAAACTGATAACACCATTGTTTGAACCAAAACTTTATTTTTGTACAGTATTGCTATAAACATCTAAGTAATAAAATAATTAATAATTTTTTTCCGTAGGATCGATTAGTGTACTTATTTTTTTAAATTTTGATGAATTTATAGATATACATATAAGCGATTTTTTAATTAAATTATTTAAAATTCCAATTTTTGCTTTCAAAATTATAAAATTTTTCAAAATTTTTACAATGGATATTTACAATTAAATAATACTAGGCGTATCTTGGTCTTTTTGACAACTTTTTGATTTTCATCGTCCGATCCTTCATTAGACTGGGTTTCCTCCTGATCTTCAAACGTTTCTTCGATATCACTTAATTCTTCGGTTAATTGATTTTTCGGGCTGATTTCATGTGAAATGTCTTCGGAATCACTGAAATTTTCCGAAGTTTTATCAACGTTCAAACAATTGTCCGAACCATGACATTTTGTACATAAATCTGTCATCGCAGTCCATGTTTTTGACACCCGCACCTATTTACCGTCACAATTGGTTTCGCAGCTGAAAGATATTGTTTTTAATAAATCTTCAGGCACGACTGAAAATTCTGTAAAGCGAGGCATGAGTAATTTGGAATTATTCGCAATTACTTCTGTCCAGCCCCAATTGGTTACAGTTATTTTGTTTCCAAGCCACATCTGAAGCTGAAAGTATGCTCTATAGGAGTGTGTAGCTGCTCCAACAGTTGGTGGTAATTTTTCTAATTTAAAAGTAGACTGCAGTTAATACTTTGTATTGATGAAATTTCAAATCATCCAGAGATAATTTATAATTCGTGCATTTGTAATTCGCCTTAGATGTATACTGTACAAAAATAAAGTCTTGCGCCAAACAATAACACACAGTTTCTTTTTATTTTTTTCCGTACAATTGAATGGTGTAATCAGTTTTAGATTTTTTTTTTAATTTAAACAAATTATCAACAATTACTGAAAAGTTCATTGTTGCAAAACATTTTTTACTCTTTTTTTGCATTTTTTAGCATGTTTTTGAACTGTGATTACAGATTTTTTTATTTCACCAAAAAGTGTATGTCAAAACAAAAAAAAATGATCACCGGCAGAACTCTGTACGATGATTTTTTTAAGTAGAATTTTTCTTTGAAAAATAAGTGTTGCAGGCCGGAAAAAATGAATATCTCGGAAACTTCTTGATTTTTTTATCCAAAGAAAATTTGTGGTTATTTAATTTACAGAAAGGTATACTTTCACTAAGTTTCGTCAAAATTAAATTATTTCTGCGGTAATGAGAAATAAAAAACGAAAAATAAGAAAAAAAGCCTGTTTCTCGCATTTTTATCGGAAATTTTGAGGTTATCTCAAAAAGTAACCTCTACAAAGGTTGTAGATTTTTGCATGATCTACTACTTTAGTATTGGATACTTTTTTGTTTGATGTCAACTTTCGCCAGAAATTCCAATGATACAATTATTCACAACTTTTTAACCCCCCATATCAACCCTCCGCCACCCCTGCTAACGCATTTATTTTTTTATGTTTATTATAAGCCCCTTTACCATTTTCCACTTATAAAACTGCAGGTAACAATTTTTTTTCTCTAAGTGTAATTTGGTGGGACTAATATTAAATAAGTTTATAAAAGCAAAGTTTTAATAGACGAATATAGCTTTTAAGTACGAGCGAGCGCAGCGAGTAACTAGTTTACGTCTGCTTATTTCCATCCTCGAAATTTTGTCGAACCCCTACTTTGTCCTAGGGTAGCAATCTGTTGCTTGCCTAACATTGCTTAGACAAGGGACCAACGATTTTAGATTCTTTCTGGGGAATTTGTATATCTTCTGTGAATACACCGACATACCACTAGAAGGTAGTCGAGCATCGCGAGCCTTCCCTGATGATCACCCATCCAAGTAGTAACGGCCAACAGCGTTGCTTGACTTTTCATATCAATGACATGAATTCCAAATGCTCAAATGAAGATCGCAACAGAGTATTTTTAATTAATAAATTCATGACAGCATAATTTTAACGGTGGATCTCATTTGATTCTTGTGGCTTCAGGTTTAAAAGGTGAACTTACCATAACGTCTGACATGGAGACCTTGGAGCAGGCCATATTTATGGATCAGGTTCCTGACGCCTGGGCCGCTAAAGCCTACCCCAGTTTACTTCCTTTAGGACAGTGGGTGGGCGATCTAACCTTGAGAATAAAGGAACTCGACGGATGGGTGTCTGATTTCTCTATGCCGTCGACGGTTTGGTTGGGTGGGTTCTTCAATCCCCAGTCGTTTCTGACGGCCATCATGCAGCAGACCGCTAGGAAGAACGAGTGGCCCCTGGATAAGATGTGTCTTATGACTGACGTTACCAAGAAGCAGAAGGAAGAGTTCAATTCGGCACCCAGGGAAGGTGCCTATGTCCATGGACTGTTCATGGAAGGTGCTAGGTAAGTGAAATTTAGAAATTAAGAAGATCTTTAAACCATTATTAATTTCGAATTATTCCCTTATTATATTATTTCATATTTCAATCTTTTCTCTCACTAGACTTTGTTTATATTCTTAGAATTTATGGCATATTTCTTTAAAACATCCTGTATAATCAAAGGTCTGTCGGAATGTCCGTTGAAAATGAGCAACAATGCTAAATAAATTAATTAGTGAAAGTACATACTTTCTAACACAAACATTACTATTCTTTGTCGAATGAATTACGGAAAAATAAATGTTTAATTTGTTAATAGTAATGAAGCAACAATTATTCATTCATAATAAATGGAATATTCGTTTTATTCCAGATGGGATCCCCAACTCAACAGTATTGCAGATTCAAAACTGAAGGAGCTGTTCCCAGTAGTTCCCGTTATATTTATAAAGGCCATTACGCAAGATAAACAGGATCTACGAAATATGTACGATTGTCCGGTGTACAAAACACGAATGCGAGGTCCCACATTTGTCTGGACTTTTAATTTGAAGACCAAGGAGAATCCTCTGAAGTGGACCTTAGCAGGAGTGGCGATATTATTGCAAATATAAAGTTATATTTATTGTGATATATTCTATGAATAAAGTGTTATATTAATTACTGTTTTGATTAACAATTTTCCAAAAAATACTATCTACAGGGTGCAACTAAAATGCTCGTTCAAATATTAACGATTGACAGGTTTATTACACCGTCTTCTGAAGTTGGAACATACATTGGTTTTGTAAGATATACAAGGTAAAAAAAATCAGAAGAATATAAAGTATCAACAATATTGCATTTTTTGCCTCATAAACCTATTTGTCCAATTATTAATGATTTGGAGGTTACAATAAAAATAATTATGTTCAATTTCTGTGGCTAATAAACATCTAAACAGATGAATGTAGCATATGGAGGTCCTTTTCATATTTTTAAGACGTTTGGGTCTATTTATTGGAACATATATTTTTATTTGATAGGTAAAGATTATTATTAAAAGCATAATACATCATTTCAAAAGTCAGGTGAACATGGTGAATTGCAGTATCGTGTCTTTTGCCTATCTATCTGGGTACCGATCATTTAAATATTCTCTTACTTTGCAAGTGAAGTGCAGTGATGCTCCTCATGTACAAAATACACATAGTTACGTAAATAATTGGTAAATCGTCAAATATCCGGCCCAGTATTTTGTAGAAAATCTAAATAACTGTTGCCATGGTAATCTAATAGTATCAGTCAGATATTTATTGATACAACCAATTCATATACGTTATAAATTCACCCTAAACATGCCTTTCCATAATGACATGTGAATTTTTATTTGCGTAAACATACGGCATGTACATGTACCTACATGGAATATTTTTTTTACTCATATACAGGTATACGAGTAGAGAAAATAACAATTTCGACTCATGATGAAATATTTCTCAGTGATCATTTCAGTGACGTATCTATATTTCTTTACTCATTGTGGCATTTCGACGAATCATTAAAAGTGCTAGAGGGTGAATTATTTTATTTCCTAGTACTTACTTGTCATTCTTGAATAAAAACTATAATACAATAAGAACGTTAATTTTCTATTTACTTGAATGAGAATGCAAGTGGGCTATTATTAAACCCACAGGAGAGAAGTTCGGTGCATTTCCGTAGAATCTAGCTTGTAGAAGTATGTATATTATTAATGAAATAACACAGTTTAAGGCTTTTAGCACACCTAACTCTGTGGTGCAGTTGTTGAGAAAGATGAACTGAGTTCACCAGTTTCATCACCACGAACTGCAAGAACATTGGGCTTGGAAGAACGTGTGTTGCATCGTGTTGAGGAAGAAGCAGGTGACAGTATTCGAAGAATTGCATTAAGAGAAGGAGTTGATCATACGACCGTGTGGCGGGTTTTAAAGACCAATTAACTTTATCCGTATCAACTACAACGGATACAAGGACTGAGTGAACTTGACTTCCCAGCACGAGAAGCCTTTTGTGTTTGGCTATTGGAAACTTGTGCCAACGACCCTCTCTTTTTGCCTTCCTTATTATTCACAGATGAAGCTGGCTTCACAAGAGATGGTATCTTCAATTTTCATAATGTACATCTATGGCATGAAGAAAATCCGCATGCCATTATTCAATCCAGACATCAACATCAATTTTCAATTAATGTTTGGGCAGGCATCATTGGTGATTTCTTGATAGGCCCTTTTGTTCTTCCCGGACGACTTAATGGCCAAAATTATCATAATTTCTTAGAAAATGATCTACCAAACATGTTGGAGGATGTTCCACTGAATTTTAGAGCACGCATATGGTTCATGCATGATGGGGCACCGGCCCATTTCAGTCTCATAGCACGTGAATTTTTAAACGAAGCATATCCTGGAAGGTGGATTGGCCGGGCAGGACCTATAGCGTGACCTGCACGTTATACGGATCTAAATCCCCTTGATTTCTTCGTATGGGGTCATCTAAAATCAATGGTGTATTCTACTCCAGTTCAGGATATCGAGGATCTTCGGCAGACAGTAGAAAACGGATGCCAGAGAATTCGGAACATACCAGGAATTTTTGAGCGAGTGAGGCAGTCCATGACAAGACGAGCTCAACAATGCATTGGTGTTCATGGAGGTCATTTTGAACATCTCCTTTAAGTTCATTTACTGTTGTTGTTGTTTTCATTATTTGTTACTCCTTTAAAATAAATAAAAAAACGTTATTTATCAGACCAAGATTAAAGTGTCCATAACTCAGAAACGAATCATTTTAGAGCAGATGTGTATATAAACTTTTTGATCGCCTTGATGAGTACAATATGGCTATGTATAGCCAGCCCACCTTTTTTGTTACACCCTGTATATTAGGTAACTTGATATTCTGCGACATGGTTTTAGTAATTTAATTCAACGTTATTGTTAAGAGAAAAATAATATTAAAAGTTGTTGAATATATTTTTGATAAGTACAAATTGCGAAATTTCATTACCAATTCCTCTCACATTTAGACAAAACAACTTTTTATTATCTGTCTCCCTCATCAAAATAAGTAAAATAAAATTAAGAGTATAACGGCTATGATTCTTTAAATATCAATTGATCGATTATTTAGATAATTAAAAAAAATAAAAAACATTGGAGAACCACCATATTACAATCCACTACCGGCCAGGACATTTCTTGGCGCTTTGTTGCAACGCACACTCCAGAGACTAATAATTGTCTCGTTTAAGACTGACTTGGTCATATATTTCACCACCGTAAGGAAACTTAAATATAATAAAATTAGAGTAATTATATTCAAATTGCTTTTGCCTTTGTAATATACAATAATCTACCGTCTTCATTAGACCGCGATCTTTTTAAAAGAGAGATACAATAATACCGGTTCACCGGTAAAGGGTCTGCTACGCATAAAGAGGCTAAGTAGGTATTTAAAGTTCGTTTATCTTTATGCAGAAAGGTTTTTTTTAGTAACGCTCAGCGGTCCATAGTCCCAAATGAGAGAGAATCTGGCCAGATTTAAAATATGAAAATTTTATGATATTGTGGTACCAGTGCTGTTAAAAGCTCAAAGGCTTTGCTTTAATTACAGTTAAAAAAATATATGATGTCGGAACAGCTCCTAATGAATTAGTAATAATTTTCATTTTAGGTACCTAGTTCTTTATTTGACTATTTACTATGGACATTAATTAGTATATGAAAACACAGTATATCCATGGCTACAAGAAGGAAATATTTTTATTTTTCATATCACGAGAAAATGTCATTTTTGATAAGAATCGTTAGGTAAAATAAAAACTGTTTTGAAAAAAAAAAACTGTCAGAATAAGAAGCTGCATGACAGTGACAACTATTTTTTATTTGGTCGTCCAAAGAGAAAATAAAGGTCAATACAATAAGGGGAATTTATTCTTATATGTATTAGGTATTTTATTTACATTTTCTAAATGCTTTGCAGATGCAACTCGACTCAAGAATTCTCCATGTCCAATAAAAAACGAATTTTTTTCTTCTGCAAAAAATGAGGAAAAAAATAATTTCCCTTTTGTCCTCTCAAGTCGTCGGATGTATAAAAGGATTAGTTTGAAATTTATATATTTGATATTTATAAAACTGATATAAATATTCAGACATAACTAGAAAGGAAAATTACATAGACCATCAACATGTTTATGCTATTGAATAAATTCCATCTACCGAAGAGAAATTCAAAAATGGTACCAAATTTTTGGTTTTTTACTACCAGATGGCCTCACAGTAGAAATTTGAAGAAAACAACCAAGAGTTTCAGTTTTTTTTCAGTGTTACAGTCCCTTTTCTCAAAATATCTCGAAACCTGAATAACTATAGTCCGCCTGCGAGCATTAATGACATATTGGTATAAAATTTTTCATAAAAGTTCAACGTAAAAAATTGTATTAAAGGTTCGGGTTTTAATTTCAATTGTACCATTTAATGAAAATATACATATATACTATTTGATCAGTTCATTCATACTAATTGATAGAGTTATACTATTATAATTATGAATTAGTCAAAATATTTAGCTCCCTCTTCTTTCTTCATTCTCTGTATTTTTTTTATTTTATACAAGAGGTGTTGACGGGATTTTATTAAATAGATAAAAAATATGTCTACAAAAATAAAACACATATTTCACCAAACGATGTTATACATATATGAGAGATTTTATGGTCTTAAAATTCAATAGCTTGGGAGGAGAATGGAAATATCTCAAGGGGAGCTTTTCAATTCTTACTGGAAATTTTCAGAACTGATCAACAAGTGGATCTTGAGTGCCATAATTTGTTTGCTTTTACAGGCAATATCTAAGAGATGAATATTTCGATTAAATGCGAATCCACGAGTAATTGATAGAAACAATTCAAACAAAGGGTGGCAATTAAAGGAAGTGAATTAAAGTGCTTCGTAGGCCAGATTGTACGAATATTTAACGGAACCTAATTATTGGCCATGTGCATAACGTAAAGTCTGTAAATACTTACAAATAGCAAGGAAAAGTAAAAGTAAATATTCGACACATGATTAAACTTTTATTATTATTAGGTAGCAACCTTGCAAAAGTTGCCGTAAATATTAGTATCATTTATTGTACAAAGGTTTTCAAAATTTTACTTCATTTTATGCACACCGATTGTAACTATAATTATTACTAATCTTGGTTATTATTAAATTAATATGTTTCATTTTTCAAATACGTGTGCTTAAACTTATTCATGACATTAAATATTTATTGTTCATTGTAGCTTGCCTCATGTCATCCTTCATTTTCTCTGCCTTATTGACATATTCTTTGTCAGCATTATAATTGGATCTTAGTCCCTTATCAAGTGACCTATCTCCTAGTTGTTTCGCTACGTAATAACAGATTCTCTACAAAAACTAAAAAAACTAATAACTTACTATAGACTCTTCTAATAATAGTTCTATTTTTAACATCAACATGAAATATTTTGTAGCATGCGTGGATTTCACTGTTACAATTATTTTGTCATTTTAGTCATTGAGTAAATCGGTGTCTCATCTGCGATTACAATTGCATTTTT